TTCGTGGATTTCATCAGATTTTATGGACCTACATGGGTGCTGCTTTATATATTTTGACTGCTGGGGATTTAGTATTGTTCACAATGATTATATAAAGATACATTCAAACTAAGTCTCTGCCTAAACCTCTAAGGTTTATAAATTCCAAATCATGTATCATGTTTTATTAAATATTAATCTTAATATAAATTGTGTTTTATGCAAAACAAAGAACAATAACTAAATGTGGGGCAGACTGAAGAAAATGTCTTTTAATTTTTGTAGCTTTGTGAGGGGGACTAGCCGAACAGATTTTCTGATTTTATCCAAACTTATTTTCTAATAGGAAATTTAAAGGAAATATTATGCCCTAAATATTTGGACTATGTAAATGAAAGAGTGTGTAGTTTAAGCCATTGTTACTTTTTTTAAGTTTCCTTCTATGCAATCCAGGATGCAAACCCTTGTGTTTAGAAATCTAGAGTGTACAATAAATGGTTGTGGTACCAGCAGAGAGACTAACTATTGGTCTAAAGACTACCATTTCTATAGAAAAGCAAAAGTGCTGTTTGTTGTGGAAGGATTCTTACTATTAGACAACAGAACAGAAATTGATTTGATTTAAAAGTATGTCATACTATTAAAAAAATGTTTTAAAAAGGATCAGCCCAAATACCCAGATTCAGGCCAAGATACCATGTCAGCAAATTGAAAAAAATTATAAAATAATTGCAATAGGGAACGTTTCCAGAAACAAAAAAAACGTATTGCAGACTGAAACATAGCTGTAATGCAGGGAGTGATCTCTTCATAACCTGCATACATAGTGCAATAAAGAAAAAGAGCAGAGACATGAATTATATTTGTATAATTTATAAATGGTGTTTTAGCCTCTAGATCAAGATTCCAAATATAGAAGCAGTTGTAGATATGATATGTTAACCAGAAAATAGCTCATGCATCTGGAGACATTAATATTGTTTCTGTAAAAGCATGTACAGCAGCACTCACGCATATAACATAAATCAGTATTCTATGAAATAATGCTTGTCTGAACTGCTGTAGTATAGACCTTCTGTACAAACTGGTTTTAACTCAGATGATTCAGAGAGAAGATAATTATTATCCTTCATTGATAAAGCAGCCTTCTGAACTATATTTCATGAGATAATGAACTTAATGAAATACACCTTTGTAGCAGAAAGCCATTGAGTTTATATTAATTTTGCCCATTTAAGCTATGTGATGTTTTTGGTGGTTTCACAATTTTTTGGAGGTTCTACCCAAATTGGTTATCTTGGCCTAGAGATGGAGGTCTAGAGATGGTCTAGTGATGGTTGGATGACACATGGCAGTTAACCTGTGCCAGGAGCCACATTGCAAGAGCAGAAGAATTGGAAGAGCTGGAAGTTGTTTCACCTTTTGAATTAAGTTTGAATTTCAGGTAGAGCAAACACAAGGTGGAATCTAAGACACTAATACTCTTATTAGGCTCAGCTTAATTTAGCTGCTGATATCTTATTAGATCTGCTGTCTGCTGTCACTATATTAGAACAAATACAGAATACTTGGATTGTACGAGCAGTCAAATAACTGGCCAAGCACTAAGGTGCAACACCTACTACTGAAATTTTAAATACAGTACATGTGAAGGTTTGCTAGTGAGAATTGCAATGCTTGTCTGTCAATGCTAACTGTCCTAAGGCACTGTGCCCCTTTTATCAAATGAAAAATCCTATGATAACTGGATAAGTGCATGCATTCTTCCTATGAAGTAAGAGTGTTGTAACGGTGAAATTATCAGTCCACACTGGGAGGGTATAACATTGGAAAACTAACTGATGATTAAAATGAAACAGAAGAAAAGTCTAAACTGAAAACCTCAGTCTCAGATAATCAGAAAAACAACTAAGAAACCTATATAGATCTTATATTTTTACAGTTATTTATAGTGTGTACTTCCTCAACAGCTTTTGTCCTTCTATTCCTGTGTTCCATACATCCCATTAATAATAATGCCATGTCACTTTTAGCACAATTACAAAAATACTTGTGTTAAAATCAACATTTGGAGAATGCTCCTCAATATTTTATGATCGTAGAAACAATTGGCTTCGCAAAAAATAATCAAGAGAACAAAACAAGTGAGTTAATGTAAACCATTAATAAAATTAAAATATTTTCTCAACAAATACTGTACTAAACATCTGGGACCCTATATTCAAAATACTTGCATGCTTGAATACCTATAGTAAGCAATGGGGATTAATATGCCTACATTAATTGTTTTGAATAAAGGGGCTTATTTTCAAATATTTATCTCCTTTAATGTATTTCATTATTCCCTGTAATATCAACATGAATACATTACTTTCTTACTATAAGCCTTTATTCTGTAATAAATCAATAATGAACTAAACAAGCTATCTTCTTTCATAGCCCCAACAAATAAATCCTGTGTCTTTGGGCAAAATGTGAGCCAGAAAATAAAGACTGTCTGACTTTCCTCTTCACATTTCTTGCCTAATTGCTGCACACAGAACTTAGTTTTAAACATATAGATCAAGAATAGCACCCTTTTCTCTGTTTTGCAAATAAGCAATGAAACTAATCAAGTACTCTGAAAAGAATATCCTAATATTGTAAAAGCATTCTTAGTAAATTAAAAATCAGCATACTGTTCATCAAACAAATAGGGTCAAACCAATATTAAAAATCCAATCACGACACTTGCATCCCTAAAGAAAATCTATATTTTCTGGTAGCCAGGAATAATTCCAAGCATAGCTTCTTTAATGAACATAAGAAATTATGCAGATGAGATGTCACTTGTTCCATCTTGCTCATGTAGTAGTTTAGTAGGGAATAAAAATTGTATTTAACCTGAAATGACCTCAGACTTTGTACCGGAACCACCTGGCTAGAAGGCTTATTCTAGATACCTACAACTCATTGTGTAAAGACATTTTTTCTATACTCAAGTCTAAATTAATTCCATTTCATTTTCTGTTTGTAAACTGTGTCCTTGTTTCATTGGGTATGAAATCACCCCCTAGCGTCATACTATGTACTACATATACTGTAAAATAATTTTATATGTTGGATCACATCTTGTCTAAACATTGTTTATCTCCCATAAGCAATCTATATGTGACACTCCCCTGTGACCTAAAATGATTCTTATTGTTATAATTTCTTGTTAAACTCATTCTAAGGCTATACACAGTATATATTCTATTTGCTGTTTTTATTTCTGAAAGTAAATATTACCATGAATATAGAAACAGCCTCTTCCCCCAAACTTACTGCTGGACTCTCTAGTGCTGAAAGAAACATGTTAGGTTTCAGTCCTCAAAGAGTAGGCAAAAAGCTTTGGCCTGCAGGAAGTTCATTTGTGGCATCGTGCTTCTTTAGTTCTGAAGATAGAGAGACTTATAATAGCTTAACATCTAATAAGATACAGTAAGATAAGATAATTTTATTATCCATATACAATTTCTTTTATTAGGAATTTGTCTTTTCGCATACCCCAACTTGCTTTACACGAGACACACAGACAGGGAGAGGAGCTATGGGGTCAGAGGGCAGGGTCAGTCATTTCTACAGCGCCCCTGGAGCAGCTGGGGTTAAGGGCCTTGCTCAGGGGCCCAGCATAGTAGGATTCCTCTGCCGGCCGCAGGATACAAACCGACAACCTTCCAGCCGGTGACCTTGATGATGTCAAGAAGAAGTGGATTGCAAGTGTGTTGTGATTTTCTTGTATATGAACTTTACAAATAGAAATGTAAGTGGAAATACTAAATTTCGATATTAAAGGCTGTGCAGAACATATTGTTATGAAAGTACCAAGGCTGCCAAGAAATACAGAGCAGTTCTCTGGAAACATCTTGTGTAGACAGAATTTTATTTAAAATGTCTCCAAAATCTGAAGCTGCCATTCTTTTCCCTCTCTTAAACATCAAAGTCAAAAGAGAAAAACAAGAACTTTAATAATGTGGCCACTGAGGAAGAGAAAGTTTCAAAGAGGACTACATTAAGGACTGATGTACAAAAATGGGCAGCTTGGAATAAAATTTGCAGGTACATGACAGAATAACTTAATCTTTAAATTAATTCTATGAACCCACCTGACTTTGATATTGATGACAAGTGAAGGAAAAAAGTCCCCTGTGGATAGATATATTGCATCTGCTGAGGAAACAGGCATTTTTACTTCAGACTAATATTTAAATAACATTTAGATTTTCACCACTGAAACCAGTGAATCTTCCTATGTTGTGCTTTTTAAGTCATAGGCTTTCCCTTTTGGCGTACAGAATGCATCCCTGAATCCCATAATTTATTGATCTTCAACAGCCCATGGTAGGATGTTTCTTAGACGGTCTGGACATTTATTAAAATAACTACATAGGATCTAAAAAGATGCTCCATACTAAAAAGATAAAATGTTGTATGTATTGTATGTGGAAAACACAGTAACAGCTGCCAATCTCAACTGCATAAATGCTGGGAGTGAAAAAAACTAACAGTATTCATGGCACAACAGTCCCTGTTAATCTGTGTTTAGTTATTAGAGGAGCAGAACACAGGAACAGCTGAGAACAACTGAAGCTCAGAGACTCCACATCATCCTCTGGACTGCAGAGAAGTGATAATGGAGAATTTCCATCTTCCTTCACATTCTTTCACTGCCAAAAGTACTGGTATAATTTTTTTATAGAAAACATTTTCAGCTGACAGGGTGGAGGGATTTATTTCAAAAGCTTTAGACTACCAACATAAGGCTATTTTATTAATATTAAAATCAGTTATTCAACTTGAAAGATTAATTATTTGCATTCCAACAACCAAAGAAGGCTCTTAAGCTGAAACAATGTTTTACTTTTTTTCTTTTTTAGCACAAAAGTAACCTTGCTCAAACTTTTATAGATATGAATACATATCTATAAAGGTTATATAGTTACTTAATATAGATATATAATCTCAAAAGATCTGAAACACAAGAAATAAAGATACATATGTACTGTAAATAAAACTTTATTAGCTTGTCTCAAATGTATTAACATACCAACAGTCACAATATGCTCTATAGTACAGATTTTAATCAGTTATATACAATTTACAGTACAATATGTTTTTGTGTTTTCGCCAGAAAATATAAAGTACAAAAGCTATGTAATAAACAATCATGGAGGTACCGCAATCCAGTGTAATTACCAGCAAAAGCAGAGGGAACAGACTGGAAGATTGTTAATGAGCCTAACAGAGAAAACAAGATAAACCAAAATACCTGAAGGAGAAAAGACAGAGAGATAAGATAAAAGGAAGAACAGCAAGGAAAGACAAATGAAATTTATTGCACAGTCCATCCATTCGTACTAACTCTAAACAAAAACCGGAAGGAGGAGATAGAAAAATCATACACCAATCTCTCACTAGAAGTTGATATACTGTCATATTTTGTATGGTAATTAATTTGGAACTAGATATAACTTTTTGTTATTAAGAGTCTTTTTAACTGATGTCATGAAAAAGGCAGAAATGTAATTCAGTTCTCCTAACCCTTTTAAAATAAGGAAAAACAAAACGCATAAAATTAAGAAAAGTTTTCTTTAATGTCACAGCCAGGTCTCCCTCATCTATGCGATTCCCAGGTCTACACCAGTTCTTTCAGCAGCAGTCACCGAATCCTCTTGAGTTCCTGCAGGATTCCAACAGCTCTCTCAGCGCAACCAGGTCTAAAACAACAAAACAAGCCTAACTCAGAGCTTTTCTTACAAGAACTGTGTGGAACGTGGCAAACATTTGGAAAGTAGAATGCAGATGAATAGCTAAGAAAGGAATTTAGCATGCAACAAACATTTACCAGAAAGACAAAGAAAAAACTAAATGAAAAAGAAAACTTGTCAGAAGAGCTTGGATCATCATAGTGAATTGTAAACAGAAATAATGCTGTACGTGTTTGAAAGCAGAAATCTTGTCTGCAGTTTTACTGTTAGTGGTGTTTACTGATTGTTTTAAAACCAGCAGATGGACATTGCATTCTGATTGTTTTAATTCAGCATATTATTTCAACAATAAAATAAATACTCGACAACCGCAGCTTAGTGACAAAGGAGACTCCTGCAGGAGGTGCCATACCTCAGTTTAGATATTTAATTTAGATGGTGACTAGACATTAATGTGGCTGTATTCACAAGTGTGTTAATCCTGGTGTCCTGGCTAAATTAAATCTCCCTGAAGTTCCCCATTAATTCAACTGGGGATGCACTTTTTCACTGTCACAAATCATCCAGATGGGTGCTGCAATTCACTGATGGAATAAGTGGATCCTCTCCTGTATGTGAAGTGCTTTGCAGTGAAAAGCACTATATGAATGCAATAATTAATCACACATGACAACAATGAACCAGATCCATGACCTTGTATAAACTAATTTATCAAGATTAAGGGACTGAAAATATTGATTCTCTACATGGATGTCCTTTTAGACCCTTCCACATTACCTCAATTCCTGGTGAGATAAACTACAAATGAACACAACAGCTAACACAGGTATATGTTTTCCATAAGAAAAGCTTTAAAAACATCTTTTAAAAAAAAATTCAGACAAAAATTAAAATTGTTACTTCAAAGGAAAATATGCTTCTGGAAAACGATTTTAGCTGCTGCTTTACAGGATCATAAGAAAAAGTACATTTGAGTTTAAGTCAGGGCTTTTTATATTAATTTATAATAAGATAAGATATCAGGGCAATGAAGTGCTATGCTAAAAAAAACCAAAATGAATACATACTCTCCTACAGCTTTAAAAAAAACACATCTTCCAGTTTACTTTAGCACCCTGTGTGGAAATCTTAATAAAGGCAGTCTTACTTTTAAACATTAATTCAGCTTTTCAATACTTAAATAGTGACCTTCATACAACTAACAACAGTTAAAAAACTAAAGTTACAGTATGTGTCTGTGCTCAATCCCCCTACTATGGTTTATGTCACATTTCAATACAAGCAGGGGAAATATTTGTAAGGATGGCTCAAGTCAATGATTATCAATGCAAAACCACAATATTGAATATCTGGGCAAACTGGTTTAAATACTTGTCTTGCATACTCATTCATATGTAAAACACTTAGGCTTGAAGACACTGGAGTGCTTCTCCATAAATTTCTGCACTAATATGCAAGGCATCTATTGGTTTGACATCCTGTACAATCCAAACTTGCCTTCAATAGGCTTTAGGCTCCATGGCCAGGCTGTATAATATCAAGCTACAACATTAATTACCTTTTATGTGCATTGGGAGTGGAGATTAAAAGAACTAATCTCAATCAAGCCATTAGATGCTGTCCAAAGTAAACAGAGATGACCCTCCTTCATGCAAACCCTACAGTCTCATTGCGTTAATAATAAGAAATATCACATGTAAATATGTTTTACAGGCATTATCTTGGCTTTAAGATCTTTGTATGAATAGAATAATAGGTTTTGATATAAATTCAAAGCCTATAATAAAACTATTTGAGCTTTGTGTACCAGGATAGTTTATAAATAGTTGCATGTCTTCAACATTGTCATGACATTTTTTTCAAACTACATTTTAAGCATTTATTTGTCCTTTAACATCACAAAAATGATTAACAAATTTTGTACTTAAAGAACTTTAATTATCAACTTTATTAAATAACGGTTATATATATACTTAAAGAATGACCTTACAAAAATGAATATACAGTATTTATCTTCTTTATCTTCAGCTTTTAAAGAGAAAAAGTATATTCTTTAGGATATTGTCATAAGCATTCTTCATTATTTAAACACACAAGAATAAAGAGTGTCAAAAGGTTTAGATAAAGTTTTCTAAGGGAATTATGCAGTGTATAATTTGATTTGCAGAGAAACGGCACAGGTTTCCTTACACATTTGATACCCTGCTGTATAACAAATAATGTTCCTTTCCCCTTACTTAAAATGGTGTGGTAAATTTAAGATTATGTTCCATGCAAGATGCATCTTATCAATATAAAGATCTGAAGTACAATTTATAGGCAAACATAAATCATAAACACTGCATTATAATGAAGTACTAACACCAAAATACTTGCAAATTTATTCAATTATGTAGGAAACTTTAATGTTAAATAAAAGATTTACAAATTGATGCACTGTACTTAAGCTCTCATATCACAAATAATAAAATCACCGGCTGTGATATGCATCAGCCTTTTAACATAAAAGATACCATGAAGGGAAGTGTGAAACCATTTGAACAAATGTTCTAATTTACTTTAATCCCCTCAAACTTCGATCCTCCAGAGAACATATACTGTAATTACTTATTAAATTATTACTGAAAAGGAAACAAAAGACAGCACAGAAGAGCTGGTAAAATGTTGTTCAATGCCAACCAAAAAATGGGCAAGATCATAAAAAGGAACCATTATGATTTCCTTTAACAGCTTTACAGCCTGGTGCTTTAGAGTTTTGAGAGAAATGTTAAAGCTGTGTAATCCGGAAAGACACATAGCTCGTGATTGGATCTTGTTTATACTGTTTCTAGTAGTACCTTTATGAGCACATTTATGTTTTGCTGACGTTTTTGATCATAAATAGAAGACAAATGAACACTTGGAGTATTTGACATAATTAGATATTAATTTGTGTTGTACTGTACTAATGTGAAATAATACAAAAGAAGTATTAGTAGTCCCCTATACCAGATAAAGCATAAAGCTACTGCTAGCTGCCCACAATTATCTCCATGCAGTATCAACTATTCAGTTTAAAGAGTGTAAAAAGTTAATAAACCTTGTAGTTAATTTTTGGTATTAAAGAAGACAGTGTTTCTAAAAGATTATCTTTGATTAAGAACTGACCACAAATCAAAAAGACTCATTAATACAATGCTTTATAGGATTTGTGCAGGGAAAAAAGGGGAACTGCGAGGCAAAAAAAGATCCGGTGAGGTGTGTGGCACTATGATATTGTAAACAAGCAGGCTTGTGAATACATTTCTTTAAATCAAAAAGAAATATTGTTCTAGCTTTCAACATGGTTTTGCAGACAAATAGCACTTACTTGTTAAGTCTGCATGCAGATCATGTTAGAAGATTTATGCGGTGAAATGCCTGCTGTGCAACTTGTTTTTATTCTCTTGTACATCACATTACATTAGTCATTACAGAAACTAATGAGCAGGAAGGGCCAAATCATGTCGCTATTCGTGGGAACTCGAATGCGAGTTTGTGACAACATGACCACTTACAGTACTTTCACAAAGTTCATGATTTTGTGCTTAATTTGAATTTGTATTTTTTTTCTATAACGTCAATGACTCTGTGTTTAATAATCACTCTGTGAAATTGGACTGCAGTTCCCCTTTAAGGGTTAATTTGCTGGTTTCATGCAGATCGGATCCCCAGGTAAGACGGGAGGTTTCTCTTAACTCACCGCCATACTAACCAAGCACTGTCTGATCTGAGTCTACTCAGAAGATACCACGCTGCGGTGAGGCAAACTACAAAGCCAGGGAAAAAAAACACAGCACAGTAACTTAGTTAGTAGAAGTGAAAAGTGTCAGTTAGTGAGCTTCACAGAACTCTGCAACACAGAAAATGCAAGCAGCGAGTTAGGTGAAGATGTACAAGGTAGTATCATTGTCAGTCTTAAACCTCAAGAAATGGCAAATGTTTCTTTTGAACAAAGATTTGTTTGGAACAAACTTCGGCAACATACAGGACTTAATTAAGGCAGTACACGCAACTGATTTGAAAACAAATAGCTAAAAATAAGACTTTTAATTCTATTCAGGTCCTCATGAAAAAACAGTTATATTGTTTTCAATGAACTCATAGGTTTTGCATAGACTCATAAATAGTTTCAAATGCGATAAAGTGGACACATGATTACTGCGAGTCAGGGTTGTTGTACAGGAATGAAGCACAGAGGGCACCCAAGGCCAGTTATTTTTTAAACAAGGGCTGGCAATGTGAGTGTACATTATACTGCACTTTGAGAATCAATGCAAAGAAGTGTGATAGCGTCATATCAAAAGGTAAAAATCACAGCAGTTACACCCTAAACATGTTAAGTGAAAACTGTATGTCTATGTGACAGCTAAACACTGTAATACCAGGACAAAGGTTGAAAAAGGAAGATCTTTCACCAAGGCAAGAATAAACTTCTACATTGAAGTATGCATGTAGATTAACAAAGGAGATTCATGGTGTGTAAGCAGGTCAAATCAAAGCTTTCAGCATTCCCTTAGAAAAAGATAAACATTCATCACAAAAAGGACATCACAGTATCCACAAATCTCATATTAGGGAAACAGAACCATCTGATTTAAAAGTTAACATTTCTTATTTAACACAACTCTTTCCTCTTTAGTTTTTCATTTCAATGTTCAAAGAACAGTATGTTTTGTAAAGTTGGATTATTTAAAAAAAACGTATTAATAAAATAGCTTAACCATAATATCCACCTCCATTATAAACTGTAATACAATTATGAAGAAAATGTCTGTTTTATAGATTATTTTAAGAGTTGAAAGATTAATTTTCCATCATCTAAAATGAATACACTAAACATGCATTTGAGGCTATATTATGTAATTGAACATACTAGTTACAAAACCAAAAGTAATTACAGCTTTTGATGATGCTTATCAATTTTGCCTGCAACACAATGTGCCCTGAAACAACATGTATTTATTGCAGCTGAGACTAAATGCAATATACAGTACTCCACTTCCCTACCTAATGTACACTTTCTTCTCTATGCTCTGCATTCAGGCCCTGTAGACTGTTCTTAAATGCATAAAACCAAAACTAAGACTAAATCTGAAAAGTGGGAATAAATAAGTAACATGAAATGTAACATGGTACTATCGCCAGGTACAAAGATCTGCTCAGACTGGATGCACCGATAATGACCACGAACTCGACCAAGAGCCATCACTTAGTGACACAAAAGACACACACCATAATCATATATTAATATCATACTTTCAAAGTTATATATTTTTTATATATATATTTAATTTTATCAACTTGTGAAATTCACAAACATGTTTTTCTTTAGAACTTAAAATCAAGAATTTTGTAGATTCTGAAATATCGTACAGACATACTACTTCCACTCACGATGCAAATCTGTTCCTTGTTAGCACTGTATTTTGAAGACCAAAACACAGTTTATACTGATATACATTACTTGCATTATATTTTTAAAAATGGATATGTATACATTTAGAGTTAGCTGGGCATCTCATGGGCTACAAAAGCATGGAAAATCAGGGGTAAGAAATTCTAGTCAATGTTTTCTTGTGGACTGTAGCACCTTGGTGCCGCTGACAACAACCCAATACATCTTACAGGTCACCATTGAATCATCAGTTGTAAAGAAATGTCAACATAAGTCGATTGTTTCAATTAAGACAGAGATGGCCAACTATGATTCTTGAAGGCTCCAGGGAGTTGGAATTTTAATTTCAAATGATCTCTGAATAGCGTAATTGAACAAATCTCCTGCTTAAATAAGTACTGTAGCAAAAGAAAAATTGTTCCTAACGTTCAGAGATTGATGATTTAAGGTTGTAAAGCCTGCAGGACTCTCCTAGACCAGGGAGGGCCACTTCTGACTAAAACACAAAAAAAACTTGTAAAAATGTAAGAACAGACCCTTCCGTTCATGTGAGCACTGGTCAGAAAACTGTACTGGAAATGAAAAGACGTCCTGATCACCCAAGCAAACCCTTGCCAAATGACACCTTTTAAAAGTGTGGGTATGTGAATCTACACATACACGTAATTAGCTCTAAAGTATACTTAAGCAGTTTGTAAATGGTCCTTGTCTTTACCTTGTTAAACATTCATGCTTACAGCATAGACCAAAAGCAATAAAAAATGTTTTTTGTGCTGACAAAAGCTAGAATTACTTCAGGTTGCATGAAGAGCAATATTAAGACTTGGTCAATATCTTATTTAAAAGGACAATGCAAGGTTAGGAAATTCACATGAAGAGGAACAAGGCAAAAACAAACTTTAGCTCAGTGTAAGGCAGCAGCTTGTCACTATCACCTGACAGACAAGTGCTGGAAAAGACACATGTGAAGGCCATGAACAAAACCACAGGTGAAAAAATATATCTATTGTGTCAAAGAAGAAAGGGAAACCTCAAAATTAATTATGTATATCTCATTCTTAGTTGGCAAGTTATTATTAAAATTTTAAATGGATGGTAAAAGTGAAGGTTGCACACGAATGTTTTCGTCAAATAATAATTTATCACTCAGCACATTTCACTATTCAAAATAGATAGTGCTGTAACATTTTAAGGCATTGTAAATTCTCTTAAGCCTTGAGTTTTAAGGCCAATTCATTAAGTACTTCACAATGCAGCACATAAGTTAGAGCTGCTGCTAAAGTTAGTTTAGCAAAGCAAATACTGGTGTGAGGGCACTTACTAGTGTTCTAGAATCTTCCCTTTCCAGAATCTTCTGGGTCTGATCCTCAGGGAACTTGAGTACTGTAGTTATAACTTTTGCCATTGTCTAAGAGAGGAACACAAAAACAGGTTTGGTTATAAGAATATTTGTCTAAAAAAATGTAAATGACAAACAAGATGGAACAATGACTAATCGTCATACGATTAGTGTTTCCCAGCCAAGTATACACTTTTGAGAAACATTTTAAAAGAAACCACATATAGATAGTTCTTTGCTCTGTTTTAACAATCATTAGCAAGAGAATAAAAGAGCAGAACTTATTTTCTCCTCTTGGCCTAACAACCTGGCTGCAGAAGCAGCCAAACCAAAACTGTAGAGAAGCCAGAGGGAGTGTTTGACATGAGAGAGGCAGCTCTGGCCCTCTTGGTTTCTTAGATACATGATGACATGCATAAGAAGGGCGCTGTAAATTCTTTTATAAAGTACTCTCTCAACAATGCAAACAGTAAAACTTATTTTCTAGGAAAAGAGAATATTTTTTTGCACATACATGCCCTTTTGCTGTGCCTGTTGCACATGTGGAAATGGCAGGGCATATATAATTTCCTGCTGAAAAAATGGACAAGCAACCACCTGGTCCTCATAACTCTCCATGCTAAGAAGGAAATAAATGGAGTTATAAAAATCTCTACATGGGGCTGAGGAAGCGGTGATTATGGCTAAGAATCTTCACATTGTTGATGACTTGGATAAAAAACAGACATACTAATGAAGCAGTATACAATAAATAAGGATGGATTTGTTAGACAAAGACTTTACTTGCTAAAAAGAATAAATCCAAATTAATTCAAAAGCAGCCTCCAAAATAATTGAAATAAGTTCCTGATGTATTTTTGCTTTATTAAAATGACAATTTATTATATTGTAATAAATTATTAGTGCACAAAATCCTGTAGTTTGTCCTTATGCAAAGACAGAGAAAATGTAATAATTAAATGAATTTGAAAAGAATTGACATACAAAACTCTTTTACCTCTAAGTTTCACAATGTCATGTCACAAAAATGTGTAAATACCACAGTAAACATTTCCCTCATCTTTGCATTGGTCTTTCTGCATTTCTCCACTTTTTCAGCTAGCCCTTGGTGAGCTGCTCTCTCTGTATGAAGGTCCTAACTTCCTAGTCCTACGACCATGTAGTTGGCCCTCAGCCAAGAGAGTTAAGCCAAAGCTTTTTATGCCTGACTCCTCAATAAACACTCCTAAATGTATTTCCTTATTGGGTATTGTTTCCTCCTAAGCGGATTTTGTTCTTCATAAAATAGAGTTGGCTTTGGAGTTCTCACTTAATGATGCAATCTTTTTTTCTTTTTTAAAGACCTCTTTTTAACGTTTCAGTTCTTAACTATTTTATCTGAGATTCTGTGTATAAAAAAGATATGAAGGCCCATCCAGTTCAATGGATTCTATTTTTCACAGCTCCAAGTATAACTGGAAACGACACAGTGCAGATAATAATAAAAAAAGACTAAAATATTTTCTAAGCAAGGAGCTATACACATGACTGATTACCTATTACTTTTTAGAGCAGACAACATAGAGTACCACAGATATCTTTGGACAAGATGGACGCAGTCCAAACTAAAAAAAACTAACAGTGCATTAATGTAAGGATCTCTTATGTATTTAGGCACTGTATAAAGTGCATAAATGGGGATGTAAAATAATGACTGTGTCAAGGTGCTTGAATTCAAGAATCTAAAACAACACATTACATTATATAGGCTTAAATACCAAATGTTGTACACTACAACGACCAAATTGTTTTCACAAACCTTGTAATTTAATCCTGCATTGGACTTGCAGGAAAATGACAGGAATGGAAATCAGCTTAGTTTAAAACCAGCAAAATGTTGCACTGGAACAAAAGGCTTAACCTACAACAGGAACTTTTGCCTACACCTGAACAAGGGGGCTCATTTCACTCTTATTAAACTCAATTATGCTTGAGCCTCCAGTGCTACAATCATATTACTATACTTTTTACTACACAGTTAATAGCACAGTCTATCTCTTTTCCCAATCACAACTCCATCCTAGCAATCAACATCTAAGACACTACCTGTAAGAACTGTATATGGACAATAAAGTGATCTTATCTCTTATTTTACCAAGAACAAATCAACCCAATTAACAAAAGTAATAAAATAAAGGCACAGAACTCATTTACTTAATATATACAATATTAAACAACAAATTATCAAAGAATATTTCGCTTTATGTAAACTTTTATGTTCAACTTGGTTTCGATACTTGTATTTAGGGAAGCTAATTCTACGGGTTGCAAGAGTAGTTAAGAAATGTTTTAAAAAAATGTTTGCTGTAAAAAAGCTTTCAATCTTGTTAAAAAACAGTTGGAGTTTCTGACAAGCCCATCATACTGCAATGCTGAGATGAACAAAAGCACATTTTTAATAAATCATTTTTCCCTTGTGCCTTCATATTGATCTTCTGTATATAATGACTCATTGGAGCAATGTATTCTCCATAACCTTCCAAGCGCACCATCAATCCAGGCTGGTTCAGGAAACAGGATTTGAACTCCACAGCAGGACAGGCAGCTGAATATTTTAGGAGTTGCAAGCAATACAATATGTTGAAATCATAACCATTTAGGTCCCCTGTTAGTGTACTACCCTTCCAACTACACAAATGTCTCCCAACTGAGAAATCCTGACTGTACAACGTTTGCATAACATAGTATTTTAATTTATCAGGACACAAATTTTCTGCATTTCATTTATCTCTGATTCTGATCAGATCCTTCTAATGGACCGGACATTGTTTAACAGATAGGGAACGTTAAGTGATTCATGAGTTAGTTGTACAAGGTAAACTACATTTTATCTTAAGTTAACACAATACAAGCAACATTTCAAACTAAAGAGGCAACATTATGCTAAGAAAGAAACAGTAAAGATTAAGTAGCCAATTGCTTTTGTTCTTTTATAAATCAAACACATGATTTATAAGTATTAGAAAATGTGTTGTTTTAAAACCCCAGCTGTATGTGTTGCAATGAGATGAAACAGCTGGATATCTGTGCTGCTGATGTACAGATAACAAATATAAAAACAGCAGGTCCACAGGTTTAAGATGATTGTAAAGGGGTCCTACCTTGGTCTCATGCCCCATCATGTACTCAAACAACACCTTCCTTAGGTACTCGAACTCTGTAGGCTCTGAGAAAGCGTCGCTGCTGAGGTTTCCATCTGCAAGTCACAGATAATGAAAATCTAACAATCAGGACTGTGAAATCTGCTTACCAGTGAAACCAATGTGCCATACATAGAGAACAGTAGGTTGCAGACAAGCACCTCTGACCCTATCAACTCCTGAGTGTTGTGATAGAGCACAGGAATCCCAGAAAAAACAAGATGTAACTGAATTCACAAAAGCTAGTTTTAACATTCCACATTCTTGAGAGAACCAAGTTTTCTTTTTAAATTTCTGAGAGTATACTTGCCCTGGAGAACAAAATATTGTGTTCTCTTGTCTGATCTAAATTAAATTTGTTCAATTACAAAAACTATATGTGGTAGTGTTCATAGTTTGTGGTTACAGTCAGTGTATAGAATTTATACATTGTTCTTGGAAGCCATACTTTATTCAGTTTTTTAAGTTAATAGTCTGAAGTCTAGCACTTTCATGTGGAAGGGTATTAAATGTATTAAGCAATATTTCAGGAGCAGTAATATGAACAACAGTTTATTCTGTAGAAAAACTGCACAAGTCAAAAACGAACTGTTTTGGTAAATAAGAAAACTTAAAACATCACAATCATATACCAAACACTGATTTCTGCTTTAACTGCAATACAGTAATTGCGTAGTTACCAACAATAGACTAAACTAACTGCATTTCTGTTTAGTGGAGAACAGTCCAAGTTATCCCATTGTTGAAGAATGCTCCCCACTCACTCCCCCTCCAGTCACCCATTTCCCAGCAGTCGTATACTGTAATGTGTCATATACAGCCCCCGCCAGGCATTCAGAATCAGCTCTGTAATTGAAACCAGGACAGGCAGCCCAGTTCTCAAGAAGCCATTTGCAAATTGTCTGCAATCTGCACATGGGCCATTCCTTTTTGGTAAACACAAGCAGTAACTCACTAAGCGCATCTCTTAATACACTGGGAGCAACTGAGCACTGAGACTAAGTCTATAGCGGCAGAGGTGTTTTCTCAAAATAAAAAATGTTAACAAAATGAATGAGTGATCCAGTCCTTATGTTACGATTATAAGCAGTAAAGTTTCGAATTGAACCTAGATGGTACCTGTATGCTGTCCAAAAAGTAAATTTACCATTTATCATTTACCAGCAAGTTTTCAGAATTAACCTCACTGAAAACACCTTGAAACACGTCACAGCATCTCTGCTATGCCCAAGTTGTGATTTCTGTAAACCTCCCATTACATTTTTTTAAACCCCAAATGGTCCTGTGACATAAAATATTTACTAAAAACAACAATGAATGAGAATAATATATTTTAAATTTCCCTAAAAAATATGATGTGCAAAAGATTTAATTGTTTTTCCATGTACTGCTTTACAAGCAAGTAAACATTTTAATCAACACCTTAAACCCGGGAATCCTGAGAGAAGGCAAGAGACAGTTTGTGAGAAGTGCTGAGTTTCTATTATTAGGCAGTTGTGCCAGGGATCTATTGTGAGAGGATAATGTGTTCAGTAAGGAACTAGAGTGTGATTCTGGATTTTTATACACAGCTAAAGAAACAACTGTCACACGTGAATTTAGAAAAATGAAAGGAAATAAAATAAACCTTTACTGCTGGTATTCTAAATACCTAATTTCTTGGCAGATTACAAGATTACAATAAGATTTTATAAGATTACAAGATAGCTTTCCTGCTAAGCACCATTCATTTTCACAAAATGGTCTTGAAAACAAGATTTTGCAAAAGGAACACTCGACTGAAACACAACGCAGCTCACACACTCTCTTAATTAGGTGCCCCTTCATTCAAAGTGCTGCAGAAATAGTGGGATAAGTGATGTGCTCTTTCTCTCTGTTGCTAGAAACACATCACTCAAAACAAAGTCACACCTTCTCACACACGACCATCAAGCTGTGTGAAAACTTTCTATGTCATGTCCTTTTGTCCCAGCTCTGAAGTCATCAGGACTATTATCCCAAATGCAACAGAAAATCTTTTTAAAGGATGTCCACTACTGAGAGCAGATAAAAACAACACTGCTATGAAAACAGGCCTTTGATCAGTAGGTGTGGAGGAAAGAACGTCAATAAATCCAAGACTTTAATCTTCTCCCCTGCTTTCTTCATCCTCCCCCAATAAGCCAGTGTAATAGGAGAGAGGCAGAGAGCCCTCACCTTTCTTGCCCTACAGTACACTCTCTCAACAAAAAATTAAATTCATGTAAATGGTTAACATTAAAAAAGGAAAAATAAACTCCTACACTGGAGCAGTTAAAGCCTTATAAAAATACTATGTTGCTAAAAATGTACCTGGGCAATTTAAATGGTCTGAAAAAGTAAAATAAGTCAAAGTAATTGTAAGCATATTACATATTGTAAGCATTTTAGCTTTTATTTAGCCCACAATGTACAGTAATTAATGAGTGTTTTTGCTTACAGTTCAAGTTTTAAAGTGTAACATTAGATAAAAAAGGTAAAAAACAAACAGAAACAAGCCTACACTATTCCCTTTCATAGTCCTGTTCATATTCACAGAATGGCCAGACATTTCAGAGTTCAGACTTGGAGAAAGAAGGCTACCAGGACAGAAGGTAAAACTTAGCAATGAAGACCTTCAGCCAGAAACAGAAAAAAGTTCTTGTAACTACTATACAGATCCAATGTCTTGTCATTGTCATTCTACAATTCTCAAATGCTTTTGGAACTGCATTTTGAAAATGGAAAGCAAGGTGAATTTTAAACTTAACATGATGTTTGAGAAACTTGTCCTGTCTGACAATAGCTCATTAAAAATATAATATACATATAATGCATATAATGCATAGTTTTGTTTGTTGTTTTTCTTGGAAAAGTATTCTGCTTGCACAGGTTTAAATGTGCTGGTTCAATGATGAGACTGTCCGGAGTCTGTGACTGCAAAAACCATTAACATGAAAGACGTTTCAGTTTAGTCCAAGTATGTTCATGTGGGAATGCCCATTACTGCATCAACAGGGAGGGTAACACAGCGAGGTTAGAATGCAGCACGACCTTTCCTGCCTTCATTTCCCCTTAATCTGAAGGCTACAGATTTTATACTTTCTCCTACAGCACATGTGTAAAACAGAAAGGTTGATGAGTGATGAGTGTAATTTAGATATCCAGGCTAATTTCCGTCTTGCTGATTAAATATACTTACAGATACAGGCAAGCTACTGAACCCTATAGGACTGTACTGAAACACTGGTAATCCATTGAGTCGTGCTGAACATAGTGGAGTCTGCTGTCAAACAGCAAATAAATCATAATAGGATCCCTCTCTCCAAATGTAGAAAGCTTTGTAATATATTTCATACAAAGCAAGCAATTGAAAGTCTGCATTGGTAGTTTCAAGGTAAAAAAAATGTTTTTAATCAACACAATCAGAACCAACACTTTCTGCACCATTACACACCAAAAAAACAGCCCAGATGAAGAGATTAAAGCTTACCTCTATATGGTGTCCCTAAATGAGTCACAACTGAGTTCTTATGCAAACATCTTAGCTTATCTTCAAGAGAATGGATCTACAAACAAAAAAAAACAATTCATTAAAATTGTGCAATCGCATAAATACATTGTCATTGTCATTTCGTCAATTACGCTCCTTTGCTGTCGATGGCATGGAGCCTAAAGGATTACAGTTGGCTAAAAAATTAAATTCACTAGGATCAAGGAATGTGTTAAAAGAATGAGGGTAAACAGCTGTGTTTTTCAAGACATTCGATTCTAACAGTAAAAAATAAGTAAGGAATATTTTATTATTGCAGGATGAGATACCTGATAGTGCATTTAAGCTCTCAGATATTTTTTTCATTTTAAGATAGGTGACTCTAAATGAAAATTATTTTGCATTAGTATGAATATATTATACAAACAGAAAACAACTCATGCAGTGGGGTAAGACAGCATTCAAATATCCTCACCGTTTCCTGGAACTCCTGTTCCTTTAGCTTAGCCTCACTCAGAAGTGTGGTCTTGTGTGCAAGCTGCGTCTGGTGGAAGACACATCGGAGCCCTCAGCCCTCAGAATAAACCTGCAGAACCTCTGACCCTAGGCCTGAAGCCTAGAGTAATCAAAGCATCCTTTCCAAGTCTCCACTAACTACATGCCTGCTCTGTTAATGATATAGAAAACTAAATCTAATCAAATTACAAATCACAACTAATAAATTAAAGATTCATACAGCAAAGAATGGAATATACAGTATATATACTTGTATGTTAAATGTGTATAGTGCCATTGTAGTAGAAGAGGAATAAAGTGCAGATCTTGTTCCCACTATATTCCCCAAACACTTGTGGTGTCTGAACAGCTGAATTCAGTCATCTGAACAGTCCAGCAACATTGACTGGTCAGGTGATAGACCAAAAGTTATTACAATGAAATAAGGAAAGTCTTAAATAAACTCACCTGTAGCTCTTTCACAGTACCCTACGAAACAAAAAAAAGTATTAATGCATTACTGTATATTTAATCACATTTAAACAAATGTTATCTCCACTTTACTTTATTCCCTCTAAAACATCATGACAGTGGGGGCAATCATTTTGACCCAATGTCCCAACAACTAAGATAAACTGATAAACAGGAATACAGATATAAATCAACAACAATTTGGATGTTAAATGAGTCAGATTATGTCAAATAAAAGAGAGGGCTAATTTAAAACCAAACTAAATAGCACACTGAAGAGTGAAAAAGAACTGCAGGTATTACCACATGATAAGAAAGTGACACGATCACATTTCTGTTTAAAACAAAAACATTTCTACAATCTGTTGTAAACCTAAAGAAATGTTCCGGAGGGGGAAAATATCTGTATACTCCTCCAGACTCTTTTCAGTGCTAAATTCTGAGTTGTTGCTAAGGCAAGTTGCGTGATTGTCAGCCAATAAGAATTTGCTCTTTATATGTCTAAAATACATGCGTAAAGTAGATAATTGATTCTGATTGGTCAGTTTCCTCCCAGCTGGCAGGTGAAACTACACAATCTGCCACTCTTGCCCATTATCCACTCAGCACATTTCAAAATCATCACTCAAATCTAGTATTAAAGTAGCATATAAGGCAAAGATAAACACTTACTCCATATAGAATGGGATTTATGTTTTTAGAGAGGTGGAACAAACCATAATTTCTTTTTACTGTCCACTTAAAAATGATCTTAATGCATTCCGTTTATGACAACCATTTTCATTTTTCATCATTTTTGCTGGTTAAGCAAAAGTAAATGCCATATTTCTCACAAAAAAGAAAGAAAGTGACTAACACCCATGTTTAAAATGTGAAAGTCAAGAACAAATGCAATATTTTAGTATGGATACACATGGCATTTTCATTGAAAAACCTTAAGTAAGCATCCTATTTGGAATACTGACAGTATGTAGAAAAGAAAGGCAGAAACTGTCAAACATTTCTGCTTGACTGGACAGTGCATTACCATAAAGAGATTAATTTTGAAAGCCAAACTATTCCTTTTAAACTCACACTTAAACACAGGGTGTTAAGATAAAAAACAGGCAGCTTTGAGAGTGTGCAGACTCACGAGTATTTACAAAGGAGCTGAAAGTACTACATCAAGCTTGCTTCTCCCTTTAAAACAAGTTGAAAATCTTCCCTAACAAAGAGGTACTTCAAGTTTGCAGGCTTTCTAAAACTGAGGTGCTGCTGCAGTTAATGATATGGTTACTCAATAGCAACCCCTCCTCAAAAAACATCTAGACTAGGAAAATTATTTTTTGCCAGTAAATCAGACATTTACTGCACAATTCCATCTGACTCCCCAAAAACAATTTAGCACTTAAAAAAGGACTGGGCCTCCAGGCTTGAATGAAATGACAGACCTAAATGTCCTCAGTTTTTTAACAAGGCTCTGAAAACTAAACCTCTTGGCCCATGTGATACATTGTTACACACTTCTGTCCTGAGGTATTAGCTCCTTTGCCTTGCCAGGACTCACAAAGACTACAAAGGAAGAGTGCAATTTCAGTGATCAACCTAAGAGAATAGAATCTTGTTTTGGATATGCAGTTAATGAGGAATACACCTCTCCACTGGTAGACCCTGAACCTCTATATGGAGGTTTAGCCACTGAGGCGTTATAACTGGAGCAGGTCAGGGGGGGGACAGGTCAGTTACAATTTCTCATTCTCTCCCATGTGCAGGTGCAGTGTTCACAGTTATGACCCAAGACGGGGGGGAAAAAAAGTATTGCAAATCAGAATTGGATGGGTTTATAATAAACAATACTTAGTGACTCTCAATACTGGTCTCACTATTATGGAGGGATCTGGAAGGAAACCAAGGCTTATGCAGCCTTAGGTTTAAGAGTAATGCCCATTTGTACAATGGTGTGTATAGCACCTGTTGGCTGTTCCGGTTCTTCTCCTCATTCAGTGTCTGCTCCCGTTCAGCCCGCAACTCCTCCAGCTCCTTCTGGATCTCATTCACTCTCGCAGTCATCTCTTCCTCACGACTCTAAAGAGACCAAGAGAAGACCATTATTTTTCTGTTACAATGATGAAAAACTGTGTTTTCATAGCAGCTCCAATTTTGTAAAGGACCTTAAATAATTAGTCACATTTAAAAAAGCAGAATACTTCCTAAAGCTGACAAAAGTAAATACACATCAGTTCCTTTCTAGTTTAGACAAGTGTATTTGGTTCATGGTTGACTTAAGTTTACTTTTAATTGTCAGCTGATAGAAGAAAAAAAGCAGGAATAATGCTGTAAAAAATTAAATTTGCAATCAGTCACCATAGCAATCCAAAACAACCTCACCCATTGGGCTCACAGTAAAAGACACACAGAGCCAATACTAAAATTTTAGACCAAAGAAAAAATGCAAAGTTTTCCAAAACAAAAAGGGCTGAACAATGGGTTCAGTTACACTACTGTGTTTACAAAAGAAAGACCTAATGATATCTCTTTTGCCTTTAATGAATCCAGTAAACTTAACTTCTTTCTTAACATGACATACTGTACAGTATTTAACGTATTTTTTCAAAGCTTTTAAACTCTGAAGGAAGACTGTGTTCAGGGCACAAATCATAGATTTCCTTAGATACAGTAAGTTCACAAAGATACTTTTTTAACTGGCAGTAGACTTTTCATAAAGACAAAAAGAGTTTAGAATTACAACGTCAAACTTTTTGAGACAAGGAATAAGTGTATGTGAAATAATAAGTGAATCCCTAGTTTGCCTAGCAAAATTAAAGGGGTATTTAGAATTAGGTGGATAAATAATTGATCAAACGTTAACAAGGATTGAGTTTGGGCAGCCCTGTCCTATATAATGGTCAGAAACATAGTGGGTTTGATGTTCACCTTACAGGTTACTGGAAATACAAAATAGTTGATGCTTGTCAGCCTAGAGAGGGGGGGTCTAAACCATTTCTAAATGTTTGCGGCTCTACTCATCCACTATCAGCTAGACAGTTTAGAAATGGAAAATATTCATAAGGCAACAGTGACTCTACCCAGGACCATTCATCCTACCAGCATCTTCCCAAGACCAACCTGGAAAATGATCCAGGAAGTCCCAGTAAAGTCAAGAATAACATGTAAGATTCGTAAGGTCTCTCCTCTTGAGGTTATTGTCAGTGTTAATGGCTCAACCAGTGGGAAAACACTTAATGGGCGTGATTTCCATAGGAATATATCCTTAACAAAATAATTCCACATCACAACAATCATATTTATATTGTAATTACAACACCAAAATATATGCAAAAGGAAATCATAAACAATATTATTTGCAACTTCAAGTGCAGATATACCTGACTCCTGTTTAGGACATTACAGGCCTGAAAGAGAAATCATGAGGTACTAATGAAGGATCAGAGCCACATGTTGTTAAAAATACTTTAGATGTTAGAAGCTATACATTTTCATGAAAACATTTCATAACAGACTGAAAAGGATTTCCATTTTATTATTTTTTTCACTGAAATATCTTGAGAATTGTCAAAACAAAAAAAAAAAACATTAAATGGCTGTTAAGAATATTTATCCTTTCAATGTTTTGCTTCATTCTACAAAGGGAAAAGGGAATATACACTTTCTGTGGCTACTGTCAGAGACATTAAGAAGCAAAAGAAATTTGAAACATTTGCCACACAGGACCTTGATTTTGAGAAAGCAGATCTTTAGTCATAAATCTACAATCACAACTGCAACGACTTATTTGACAGCGATCTCAAAAGTCAGATGGAATTGGAATTACCTAAAGGAATCCTACTGCATTTACATTGTGAACTTCCTTCTTTATATCTTTATAACAGGCTGCATCAAATCACATATGGTGATAATATGTAAAAAAAAACTTTAATACTTAAATGCATTGGATTTTGATTGTTGCTTGATTACTTTTACACTTGCATGCACAATTACAAAGAATGTGCATCACTGATATGCCTTGAAAGCTAGAAATCCCTGGTACTTGGCTTTTAAGATTTACTGACTGATATACTTATGTGAAAGGTATCAGAGGTACAGACTCTAAAGTTTTTACAACTTCACAATGTCTGGAAGAGGTACTGTACCTGAAGGATCTCTTCATATCTCTGGACTGTTCTGTTAATGTCATCTTCCTTCTGTGCAATCTTCTTGTACAGCTGATTGGCCTCCTCACGGTGAGTATCCAGTAGCTCAGCCTCAACTTCCTGGGCCTTGCCTGGAGAATAAAAGTAAGGAAACTATGAACACAAACATTCATCCCAGCAGGACTGAGAAACACCCTCACTGGGAAACAATTCCACACAATCCATGTCACATTTTTCCTGTTTGAAAATCATGTTTACAGAATAAACAAAACAGGGTTAAATATGGCTTATGCATCATAATGGTCTTTTTAAATTGTTTCATGAAACCAGCATTTCCTTTTAAATATCCAAACAGCTATTTTTACTATGACAAAGATACATTTTTAATTTTAGAAATTAAATCATAAACCTGAATAAAAATAACCCTAAAATTGAAAAGACACATTTGAAAGCAAATTCCACAAAGATTTCCAGATGTCTTTGTTCCCTGAATTTAGTTGATGCTTTTGGCTAATCCATTGATGGTAACCTCTGGCCTGGCAAATTGACAAAGGTTTTCCATTTTCCATTCCATTTTCGTCATATTACTGCAATGGTTATTTACATTTTTCAAATCTTTAAACCAAAGATGAATTAAAGGACACCTACAAAATCCAGTGGAACTGTAGATTTATGTCTTGAAATTTCAAGTTTAACCAATCAGTTTAACACTATTCTTGGAGGCATACGAGAGAGAAATGTGTGCAAGTACCAGCCCTTAGTGGAAAAGTGCAATCTGATGGGGGTGGAAAGTCAATTGCCTGCCAGTGGAACTTGGAACGAAGGGTTTGCCAGGACCCTCATTATAAAGGGTGCTGAAAATGTTGGGCATAAGATACCAGGATCGAAAAATAATTTGCCAGGCAGGGGGAAAAGAGGCAGAGAAGGCGTTACAATAGCTGTGTCAGAAGATGGAGTAGCAGTGGTTTAGCCACCTGGCTCAGGCAGCACTGAAACACCTGGTAAAGAGGGGGCTTGCTTTAAAATAAAGCCAGGAACAGCAAAGGCTATCAGCTCTAGGTATGTAAATTAGGGTCCATTTGAAAATGTAACCGTTGTGACTGTTTTGTTTTAGTTAAATATAAAAATTAACTGGTACATATCTTTGTTAGCTCAGGTACACATCCAGGTCAAGTCTAATCCATTTTGAGCTATCCACATGAAGTAGGTAGCAGAGAAAGGATATGCACTGATTAATGGTGATGAGGTGAGAAAAAGCTGGAAGGTGATAAAAAATGTTTTAGCACCTTATACCTTTTTCTCACCTTATCACCATTAAGAAGGCTCCAGTTGAGGGCTAGTGAATGCTAAACAGTTTCAGTCTGCAATATTTGCAGGATAAAAGAAGAGTTGGCGAGACAGCAGGACGGAAAGACATTAATTTCTCTGTAGTTCTCCTAACTCATGGGAGAAGCTGTTGGCAACTGGAAGGAAATCTGGGCCATAAAAATCCAACATACTTATTCTGTTGAGTAACTGGATGTTTTAATTGGTTGATATGGTAAAAAAAAGTGGAATTACGGTATATAGTTACCACACTTGACAACAAAAGGCAAGAATTACAAAACTTTGAAGTCTCCATCTTACTGATTGCCTCTTTTACAGCATTTTCCATCTCCTGTTCTTTCTTGGCCATCTGTGTGTTGAACTCCCTCATTAATTGCTTCAAGCCCGAGTTGTGCTTCATCTCCAAGTCCTCCAGTTCCAACCTGTTGGCAGAGATGACCAGAGATTTAAACAAAACCAAGCTTAAACTCAAATTTACTGATGTAAATAATAAATAGGCAAGGCGAGCACTTCATTTTAAAAGTAAATCTGATGAGCTGTACCTCTACAAAAAATAAGCAAAGTAATGGGACATAGCCATGAAAACTATATTTCAAATGTGAATATTTTAATTATTTCTATATTTTATATATACCAAATTGGCAGCACATCTGTACATTATACTAATTTCATACAGTTTAGAAAGTGATCTGGCTAAGATATAGAAATAATCAAAGTGACAGAAGAAAACTGGATTACAGATTTTTGGAAAATGACCTCCAAAATCAATTTTAATTGATCGATTAGAATAGATTAATGCAGGTAACTTACTTGAGCTTCTTTTCACTTTCTTCAGCCATTTCTTTTTTCACGTACTCCAGCTCCTGCACATGCTCCTTCCGCAAAGAACGGATGTCTTTCTGCAGTCTGGCAACGTCTTTACGCAGTTTCTGCTTCTCGTTCTCTGCTTCCATTAGCTTCCTCTCCAGTTCCTTCTGTTCTGCACTCTCGTCTGACACAACACCATCAGGGTCAGACCTGCTGTTCCCATCTGACACTTCTTCACAGGTTTTGAGAACAGATTCCCTCTCATACAGTCGGTTTTTAAGGTCCTTCAGCTTTTGTTCATATTCTTCAGATAAGGCATCCTTTTTACATTTAAAGTCTGACTGCTCCTTGGCCAAGCAATTCTCCAGCTCTTTGACTTTTTGCTGCAGCACATTCTCTGATACTTCTCTTTCTTGCATGTTTCTCTTCAGCTCCTCCAAGCTGCTTTCCAGTTCTGTAATTTTTCCTTCCTTGACTTGCAATTGCCTTTGAAGGTCTGACTCCATACTGTCCTTCCGCTGTTGGACCAAGACAGCATACATTTCATTCTGCTTCAGCAATTCTACTTTAAGATTGTCGATTTCGGCTTGATGTTGTAATTTATCTTCTTCTGATCTCTTAAGCTTGTTTAGAACCTCTTCATGCTTCTTAGATATTTCGTCTTGAATAGAACCCCTTTCCTTATCACTCTCCTGAATTTTCTGAATAACGGCGTCTCGATCAGCCAATTCTTTCTGAAGATCACAGAGCTTTTCCTCATATGTTTCTTCCAAACTCTGCAAGGACTTCTCTTTCTCAAGCTTGTCTTCATCTCTCACCTTTTGCACATGCTTTTCCATTTCATCATTTCCACTACTTAAGGCAGCTTCAAGAGATTTAACTTTTTCCTGAAGTGTTTTTATACTTTCTTCTCTATCTTCAACTTTCCATTTAAATTCATCCAGCTGGGTTTCCAAGGTTTTTATAGCTTGCTCCTTCTCTTCCACCTGTAAGGTCAACTGCTTCCTCACTAAGCCAATTTTTTGCTCAGCTTTCTTCTTCAGCTCTGCTAGTCTACCCATGCTCTCTGTTAACCTTTCTTCTGCTGACTTCAGTTCCTCCTCTTTGCTCTTCAGAATTTCTGCTTTCAAACTTTCAAAATTTTCCTTTTGATGCTGAAGCTCTTGCTTTAGTGTTTCCGTTTCCTTCATGAGAGCTTGCAGTTTCTCTTCAGTCTCCTGCACCAAGTTGACTTTTTCTGAGGACAGCACCTGTGCCTGTTGTAACTGTATAACTATCTCTTTTTGTTCCCTATCCTTGACTTGGCACTGTTCTTGCATATCAGTGATTAACTGGTTATATTCCTCTGTCTTTTTGACCAGAAGATCCTCCAGCTCTTTAATCCTGCAAGTGGAGCTCTGTAAGGCTGCAGTTAACTCACCAACCTTTTGCTCCTTTTCACTTAAAGCCTGGTCCATCTCAGATTTGCTAATGGACTGATTATTAACACAGTCTGTTAACCTTTCTAACTTTTCATCTTTGTCAGCTATTTGCTTTTCCAGGTCTTCCACTTTGCTTCTTAGCGACTTGACAGTACTGTTGTTCTGAGTGAGCTTGGATTCTGTTTTCTTCTTCCAGTCTGAAAGCTTACTCTTCAACTGCTCTGCCTGGTCCAGGGCTAAGAATTTCTCCTTGTTAACAGTCTCTAAACTCTCTGATAAATCCTTCATTTGGTTTACTAGTACCTGACGTTCCTCTTTGTGCTGCTCATTGAGTAACGATATGGCTTCTTCCTTGGCTGCTAGACTGTTTGCTAGCCTGGTCTTCAAGTCACTTACCATGTTCTCCAAACTGGTGATATGACCTTCTTTTTCTTCAATAATTTCTGAAACTGCAACACTGGCCTCCATACTTGCAGTTAAGTCATTTTTTAGCTGTTCAATGCAAAGTTCTTTCTCTGAAAGGATTTGCATATTACAGTTCCCATCTTTCTCTAAAGATTCCTTCTCAATAGTTAAGGCTTTTATATGGTCTTCTTTGTCCTGCAACTGAAGCATCATCTGCATCAGTCTACTATCTAAGCTATTATTTTCCTCTGCCATCTGCTGAAGCCGTTCTGCCAAAGTATGGGTTCTATCACTCTTAGACAGAATTACATTTCTGAGTTGTGCAATTTGTTTCTGGCTGCAGGCAACTCTATCACATAGCACACTGAATCTGCTATTCAATGTGTTACAGAGATCATTGGTGTTATCTTCCAGCTTCATTTGAACTTCATTACATGAAAGAACCAACTGCTTGTTGATCATGTTGAGCTGATTTCTTAACTCTTCTTCTTTTGACTGCATTTCTAGGACCTTCTCCTCAAGTCTCTTCTGAATGTCCTCACCTTCTTTACTGCTTGCAGCTTCAAGAACATGCAGTTTGTTTTGGGCCTCCTCCAGCTCTTTTGTAAGAACTAGAAGCCTGTTTTTGCTATCCTCTTCAGCTATACAAAACTGGTCTTGAAAGGAATTTCTCTCATTTAAAGCTTGATTCAGGTTTTTTTCCATTGCCTCAACTTGCTCCTTCAACATTGCTTCCCCCTGTGATAAATTTTCTACCCTCACAGCTGCCTCCTTCAGTTCTGCCTGCAGTTTCTGCACAGTAGTCTCTCTCATGGCCAGCTCTTCCCTTAGGTCTTTAATTTCTTGGAGAACCTGCTCCTTCTCGTCTCTAGTGGCTTCTAGCTGTTGTTTAATTTCAGCAAGCTCCTGTACTTTCTCCTGTAACTCTGCCTCATGCTTTTCCTGTATCTCTTCCTCCTGCTGATCCAGCCTTTTCTGCCAGCTATGAGTCAACTCCTCCAGCTCCTTCTTGTGGGCCTTGCACAAACTCTCTAGTTGCTCTTTCTGGGTGGATTCCAGTTGAGAGACAGCATCATTGATGCCAGCTGAACTGGCATGAACCATTTCCAGGATTTTTTCATTACACTGCTTGTCCTTTTGGGCAAGGTCTTCCTCCTTCTTTGCCAGCTCCACTCTCAGTTTTTTCTCCTGCTCAGAGAGTGTCTTCTTGAACTTCTCCTGCATCTCCTTTGCCTTTTGATTTATTTTTTCCATCTTTGCTTCTTGTGCTTTAAGTTTGCTTTCAAACTCTTTGTTTGTGGCCTCTATTTTCTGCACTGCTGCAGCTTGCTCCTCTTCTAACTTTTTATTTAAATGTGTTACCTGTTGGCGATGCAGATCCAACGTTTGTGCATAAGACTGCTCCTGTTCAGACAGTTCTTTCTTAACCTTCTCCAGCTGGCACTGTAGTTCTGTTACCTGTGCTGAACACTCCTCTTGAAGAGTCTGCACTTTCTGGTCTGATGCTTTCTCCTTATCCTCTAGCTGTTGCCCTAGCTGTTTCACCTGACCTTTCAAACTCTCTAGTTCAGGGGTGACTTGACATAGTTTAACACTGGCCTCTGTCAAATGTTCCCTTTCTGATTCTGCTCTTTTAAGACTTTCTCTTAGTTCTTCTAACTCTCCAGAAAATGTCTTCTGTGCTTGCTCTAGTGCTTCTTCCAGCTCTTTGCTATGTAAAAGGCTCAGCTCCTCAAATTTAGTTCTTGCTTCTTGCTGAGCCTTGACTGCCTCCTCCTTCAGATTGTTCTCCCTTATCTGTATTTCTTCAATTATTTTCTCTTTTTCTTCCAAGACCATTTTGAGCTTATTGAGTTCTTCCTTCAGAGTCTTCTCTACTCCTCCCAAAGACTGCTCATGCTGTGATCTAATGCCTTCCACCTCGTTCTCGTACCTGGATTTCTCCTGTTGGAGTTTAACTTCGTACTCCTGTCTGACAGAGCTAGTGGCATCTTTTAGCTGCTCTTCCAAAAGCTTTCGTGCTTTCAGAACTTCTGACAGCTCCAAAGAGAGAGCCTCCAGCTCCGTCTGTTTTACGTCAAGCTTCTCCAAGGTTTTTAAATTCATGTCTTCAATGTGTGCATGGAACTGAGACTCCCTCTCTTTCAGGACAGTATCTAACTCTTGTCGATGTTTTTCCTTAAGTTCGTCCAGGGCAGTTTGGTGTTGCTGCTTCATGCTCTCCATTTGTTCTGCCCGAATGCTTTCCTGATCCCGTCTTAGGCTTTCTAACTGCTCTTTAAGTTTCTCAGCCAATCCAGTCATTTCGGCCTCATGCTTCTCCGCAGATTTATGTTCAATCTGCAACAACTGCTCATCCAAATGTTTTGCCCCATCCTGTGAAAACTTTGCCAGAGAGCTTTCCAATTCCAGAACTCTCTGTAAACAGAAAAATCAGAGAAAACCCACAGAAATCAGCAGTAGAAGCATATGCCTAAGACAGTCCCCTCCAAAGTAATATATTCTTTAGGAGGCTCTCCAACATAAATAAGGCTACAGTATAACGGTTATCTTTTAAAGACGTCAGAAGTTTAAATCTGTATTTGGAACCTTTCATAGTGCATATTTTAATTAACTAAAATGATTTTTTTTTTAAATAAAGATGAAAGTTTTAACCTTTGCACATTGATTCTATTCCAACATTTAAGTCTCCAAAAAGCTTTTTCTAAACAATGGTCAATAGTAGGATCAGCTACGTATTTAAAAGACAGGTGGAATTTGTGCCCAGAAACAGAAATAAATTGAATCGTCAGGTTTTTCCAGATTATGTCAACAAATACATATTCCTCCCCAACTTTGCCCTGCACTTACAGTCCTGCTACTCTCCAGCTCCTGTTCCATCTGCTGCACTCTGTTCTGGGCCTCTGCTTGCACTGCCTTCTTCTGAAGTTCCACCTCCTCCAGTGCCAATGCAGCCTGTTGCTCCTTCTCCTGCATTATCTGGGAATACTCCCCTTGGCATCGCTCCTGATCACAGGAGACAACAACAGTGAAAAGCAAGTGACACATCAGAAATGTTTCCTAGTCTCTGCTCTGAGCTTGTCTACTATTTTTGGTGCAGGCTGTTAAAAAATACAATTAAAAACCTTCCACAAAAAATGCCTAAAAGCATTTTAACACATGTATGTGACACTGTACTGTGATGTAGAAAATATTTTGTGAATATTTGACTACTTTTTTGTTGTAATTATATATAATTAATCATTGTGTAAATATAATTAATAAAAATAAGGCATACTTATTATTTATAATATAATTTGAGAATGTCATGTTCATGAGTCAGAGGCACAGTGGCACAGTGTTTCATGAAAATACTATAAACTATTTACTATTTACAAAATAGTAGCTGCTTTCGCATCATCAATGTTTTGGTGCTTCATTCTGAATCCCAGTAACAGCAATATTGCGCTACACTGACACATTCAAACTTTGTTTTTATATAATGTAAATTGGAACTTGAACATATTACCATGTACTTTGTAGTTTCATTGTGGTTTGAAATGTGCTCACCACTGCCAATTCGTTATAACCCTCATACATAAAAATACCATTGCAGTTCTGCTTTAAGCTGGAATTTAGGGTTAACTGATTTATTTTAAATATTGATTTTGAGAGAAATCGGATGTCATGAAGACCTGTTTGGGCAAACAAAAGCTAAACTCAAATGTAACTTTAATTTTGAGCATTCTAATGTGGTTATTGTGCAGAGATTCTTACAGACTTAACATCCTTTATCAACACAAAAGTTAAAGGTTCAGCAACAATCATAATACCTAATACTAAGTATCAATTTGCTAGATATAAAAGAATTCGACAAATTAACAATTGATTTTCTGGAAGCTAAAAGATTCAGTCACAATATGATAACCTTTAATAGCTGGCTCCTCCTCAGAGTAAGCACAAAACAGGCAAGGTTGGAAACACTTTATATTGTGGTTTCTAATTATAAACAAAAATAAACTGTTAAAGTTCCACAAATAAAAACAAATGATTAAGAACAAAAAACAACCAAAATCTGAAATTAATCTTTCCCTTCACCTATCCTTGTGATTTCCTGATGTCAAATACAGGGTTTCTTAACAAGAGGGGCTATGTAGAAATATACAACACAAAATGACTGAGCTATAAAATTACACAAGTACAGTACCACAGCTAGGCTGATCTGCTCCTCAATCTGAGCCTCGCGAACCTGCAGAATCTCTTTTAGATGTTGGTCTTTGCTGGCTAGGGCTTCTGCGTGCTGTTTCTCAACCTCTGCTTTCCAATCCTCAGAAGATTTCTGCAGCATATGCCATTACACAAGAATAGGACACCTTTGTTACAGAGAATGGTTCCCACTTTCCAGAAGGTACAGCTAAGATCAGATGAAACTCAGCATAATGTCTATTTGGTTTTCTTGAGTTTTGTACAATGCCCACAATTGACATACAACTGGTCACAAGCATCTTCAATCAAATTCAGGACTTTTAAAAAGATTATTTCACAAATTAACAGACACCAAAAAAACCTTAACCTTAAAAAAGCAATAGCTTCATCAAAGAATACAGTTTACTAATGTAACATTAAATTAGAGACATTAAACTTGAACCAGTTTCAATAGTTAATAAAGAAAACTGCAATTTATCATGCAAATTAAATACATTTTAAATACACAGCCATTGATGGCTATGTATCAATGAGGAATGTTCTTTCAAAGCAAACAAAAGTTAACCTCAGATGGAAAAGATGATTCTCAAACAGAAAAGATGGTTCCTTTAATGTGTAAATTTAGACAAATCTAATACATTATCCCAAAGGAAATTCTCTGGGAAATGTATTAGAAACAGATTATTCTTCTGGAAAATAAACTTGAAACTACACATGCTTTTATATGGCAACAAACCACAACTAGAACTGAATGTCTGATGGAAAAGAAGTTTACAAACTGAGTAAATGGGCTCAATTTTTAAAAATTCAGTATCAGAATTCTACAATGTTCATATTTTGAAATTTGAGAATATTACATTTATAAGTCGGAAGCACGGTGGCACAGTGGTTAACATTGTTTCCTCGCAATGCCTGGGTTTCCTCTGGGTGCATTTATGTCCTCCCACAGCCCAAATACTGGTAGATTAATTGGCTTCTGGGGAAATGGGCCCTGGTGGGAGTGTGTTTCTGTGTGCCCTGCTATGCAATGGTGTCCCATCCAGAGCGTAACCTGCCTTCCGCTTGTTGCTTGCCAGGATAGGCTCTGACTCCCTGGATAAAGCAGCTAGAACATGGATGGATGATCATAAGTGTCCAGTATAGTGGCACAGTGGTTAGTTTTGTAGGTTCACAGGGGCCCTGGGTTAAATTCTGGACAATTCTGGAGTGCTAACTGCGTGGAGTTTGTTTGTTCTCCCCTTGTTTGCCTGGGTTTTGCCAGGTGCTCTGGTTTCCTCCCACAGTCCAAATACTGGAAAGTTAACTGGCTTCTGGGATAAAATGGCCTTGGTGTGAGTGTGTGTATGTCTGTGTGGACCCTGCGATGGACTGACATCCCGTCCAGGGTGTATTCCTACCTTATACCCTGCTTGCCAGGTTAGGCTCCAGCTCCCCAGGCAGATCTTAACTGGATAAAGCGGTTAGAAAATGGATGGATGGCTGTTCATGAGTTTGTCTTATTTTGCCATTTGAAAATCAGCTTGGTTTTAGTTAATAACACTAAAGCTATAACCCAAAACAATTCTTCTGTAAGTATACAATCTTGTTACTTCATACTCCTTTAATATGGGAGGTTGGGGAGTCAATTTTGTAACAGTTTGTTTCTAAATGAAGCAAAACCATTTGATAGAAATGAAAAACGTATTTAAATAGCTAATAATCTAATTTAGATGAAAGATGTTAGGCACTGTTAACATTTAAGCTTCTGCGATGACTTATGAGGAAATCCCAGACTGACTGAAGCAATGTGATGTGCCTGTACATTTATTTCATTTTTAGTAAAAACAGCTGTTATAGGTTAGAAATATGGGGGCCTCTCTTCCGCTCAATAGGGTTTTAGTTGAATATGTTACACGAAGATATTTTGGAAATACAGGAGAAGGAAGCTTTGTACTCCATAAATAACCTACAGCTCATTTTTGTCTCCTGGCAGCTCCGCCTGATCCATGAACCTTCAGAATTTTAAAAGATTTGCTGCTATGCTATTTGGTTACTAGAAGGAGAAGGTTAAGATGATTAGAGGGTCACTTTTGAAATAAATATATGGATAAGTCATCAGGTTTTCGTATCTAATGAGCACATAACATCTACTCTTCTGTGCAGTTTATTTTTTATTAATCTCCTACAGTGAAAATTGTGTCAGACTTCCCTGATCTCATGTGGTGAGACTTCCAGATGTTAATGGATTTCAGCAAAGTGCAGAGGGGACAGCACCATACAAGTACACTCCTGTTCAAACAACCTCTTATAACCTGTTCATACTTGTCGACTTGAATCAAGGTTGTTTGCCAACAAAGTGGGCTCAGGGATTACCTTCATGATGCTGACCACCTCCTGCTTCACTTTGGTGAGTTCCTGCTGTAGACTCTTTCGTTCGTCTTCGCTGGCCTTTTCCACAGCCTTGATCTGCTCTTCCATGTGGGCCTGGAGCTGTCGTCTGGCCTCCTCAGCTTTCTGTGCATTGCTCAGAGCCCTCTCCAGCTCCTCAAAGGCTAGGAGACAACATTACAATGTCATTCACTGTAACACATGGATAGAAACAACAACAAATTTTTCTGTTTGTGTGTTGTCTTTTTAAATATATATGGACCTATGTTCTTGTAACACCAATGGGATGGATACAGGTGAAAAAATAAGGATGGAATAAATGTACAGCAACACTTATACTCTTGCAAACGCACTTCTCATGCAAATGACTTTTTGCAGAACACACAAATAACAAATGCAGAATAAGAGTGATATTTGTGCTACCACTGTTGATTAGCAAATAACAAAATCTTGCAGCTTTGGACTTTTCTGTACAGAATCCCTAAGCTATAAAAATAAATAAAAAATGCACATCACTGTAAATTTGCTTTGTTTCTGATTGTATTTAGGTTGTTCTCATAAATATAGGTAATATATTTTGATGAAGTTAATAGGAATTGCAGAATGTCTTAAGACTCAGCACACAGGAATTATAATTCCGGAGACAAATACAGCAGAAAAAAAGTTGTAACACTACAAAGAGAGTAACTACACAAGGTTAATAAGCCTTAACTTCATTATCCAAATGGGAAAAAAATACTTCAGCTTGCACTGCACACTAGAATCTAGGAATTCACTATCTTTTGCAGTACATTCTGAAGTCATTGTAGCAGAAGGAAGAACTGCAGGAAAAAGCATTATGAAAACTAATCTACAGCTACAGTAGTTATAATTTGTAGTAAGGACAAATTTATATAATTTTTAAAATGTATAAGCTTTTGCTAATTAGCATTTTGCTCGCCTGACCTGAACTCTTATGGGTTCTGCCAATACAGAGCTCCTGTTTGTGCCCAGATAAAATCTCTGCAATGCCAAAGGGCTTTTTTCTCCTCCATGCTTCTATCTATTCCAATGTCCTTTTATACGCTTTAAAAAAGTCATGTTATGAATCATGGGCCCTTAGTTTGGTAAATCCTTATGTGAAAGATGACATTTACTGTAGATCAGATATATTTGAGACTTAGAGGTCTGTGATATGGACCTAACCTAAATATTGGTATAAGGCAAGCAAAAACACTCATATGTACTGTAATGTGAAAAATTATAGATACTGCAAGTTTATTCTCAGGTCTTCATATCCAAAAAAGATTTCATTAATTGTAGGTTTACTAATATATATCAAATGCACCTTTTACACAGCTCAGTGAACAGCACTTACATATATTTACTGTATATGAGTGATCACCTGAATGAACCTTCACTTTTTGTCTTGTGGAAACTGGCAAGGATTCTTTGGGTTTTTATCCAGGAAAACAACAATATTATGTTGCAAGGAAATTACAGTCCCAGACATTGTTGAGAATGTAAGAGAGTTGCAAAAATATCATTTTCAGAAAAGGTCTATATAGCTCATCTCTCTTGTAAAAAGTCAATCTGCTGTTTAAGTTTTCAAGTTATCTCTCAGGTTTACTTTGTCCACACCCCATTGGGCCTGTTGGCAACTGCCAGCTGCTGTCCAGTAGACGTGTAGGTTCCCACTTAACACAGCCCCCATGGGTTATAAACACTGGAGACAAATGACTGCACAGGACATTTACTTCAAACTAGACAAGTCGTTTAACACTGACAACTGAAATGTAAACACTTTGGCAAACAGGTTTCTTGTTGAGGACTGAAGCTTTGGAAAGAGGGACCATGGTAACAATTAGTGACAATGCTGTCCTTTTCTGAACTGAGCCTAGATCTCAAACTAATTCTCAGCAGTGGTAGAGCCTCTGAAACAAGTCTATCACAAGAAATTGACTTTTCGCTCACAGTAACAACATGAAAAAAGACTACATGCTGCCATTCTCTGGTCTTTTGTAGATCCATCACTATATAAATTATAGCTACATTGTCTCTACAAAAACATGGTCCATGTATAAGGTTGCACATTCATGGAAAAATAAAGCAGTTTTCACCTGAACATGCATTACTTATGGAAAAGGGATTGACAAACATGACCAAGAAAGATTTTTTCTCTGCAGTTCTCTTTAGAACCAAAAATCCCATATCCTGTATCAAACAGGGCATTACATACTGGTGTAGTGTTGCTTGCCTGAGATGACAACATTTAAATGTTGCTCTTTAACAAGTAAGGTTTGGACTATTTTTGCTTTGACTGTACAAGACCAGAGTCTGAGTTTTATGCTGCATGAAAGACCACTAGATTCTACATAAATATAATAGTGATAATATAAGAATAGATTACTAGATTATCTTATATGTATAGTACTATACTATAGCACGATGTAAATCATATCAGATTTTCTCATTGCCCCAGTTTCTTTAAAAAAGAACCTTAAAAGGTTAGACAAATTACTGAAAAGACTACTTCGGAAATTGCAGTGCAGTTTGTTTCTACACATGATTGTTTACAGAGCAGATGTTTTAACTGCATATATCAGTGACTAGGAAAAACACATTCTAATGTTTGCAAAGTGCATGCAGGACAAGTATAACCATGAATCAGCACAAGCACAAGTTACAGGGCACAGAGAGTCAGCACTAGCAAAATGGATGGAGAGGGGCTGAAAGCACACAGAAGAGATAATGGGTAACAGTCATACACTCTGCAGGCTGCTCAGCGGAAAATACGATGGATCTCAGGCAATCTCACCCTTCTGTCAGAGAGCTTCAAACTCCAAAGACATAACAAGAATTAAGAGGGCTCTTGGACCCCCTAATACTGGAGCAATTTTTATAAGCTACTAAGTACAGTATGCCAAAGAAGTAATCATTCCATTTTTAAAACATCAAGATGTATTGCAATATTGAAAAATGGAGGCCATTTTATGAAATAGAGTCATATTTTAATGAAAAATTCTTCTTAAAACAAGGAAGTACTGCTACATCGTAACGCCTACACAAAAACAATACTGGGTAAGCATCCACATATAAGGGGCTTTTTAAAACCAAACGTGTGACAAATTAAGGAGTAGCTTCAGGTTTGTAATACAGTCTTCATATGGACAGCATCCCAGGGATTATAATCTCATTATATGGTCTCTTTTCCTATTTGCAGCACATTTATTTAGTGTTGTTATTAGTCTAATGCATATCCATATCATCCACAAAAAAAAGGCTTGATTGCCCTTTTCACAAACAAATATTTTGAAAACAGACTTTCTTCCCCATGTCAATATCAGACGTCTTTATATAATAAGAAAATATTACCTACATTGTAAGGCACCAAAGCAAAATCAAAACAGATTGCTTTTCCTGTGGTCTGGGCCATTTTTGAAGAGATTTAAAACAGTTATTTTTTCTTCCTGTAAAATCATCCAGAGACATGCTTTGGAACAATCCTGACTTGAAACAAAGTCTGATTTTGATCAAGAAACTGAGAAGTGAAGTTCATTTTATCTCAGAAAAGAGGAAGTGTAAACTACAACTGAAAGTCGGTTAGTAAGTAATTTTATTTCTTTAAAATATATTCCAACTGCAAAAATTTTATTTGCAGTGACACCCCTCGCTTCTTTGGCCTTTACCCCAGGCAATCAGTGGTTATTCCATTTTACACTGAACTGCTTAACCCAATGGAAGTTAAAAACCCATTCATAAAGCTGGTCTTCAGCAACCTGCAAAATACACTGCTTGTTTTCAAAGGCTGATTAGATTGGCTTTAATGATGCAGGTGTCTGCTTATGGACTGTTATGTTCCATAGCTAAATCATTAAATGGAGTTACTGTACTATCTATGCATACAGTATATGCATGGTTACACAAAGGAACAATGCTCTTTTCACAAAAGAAACCAAATCTAGACCATCAAACCCTCAAAAGCTTAACTGCACCTCCACAATTATGTTTTTACAGTACACCTACACTATAAGAGACATCAGAAGACATTGGCCTACATTTTTTAATTATATAAACCCACTCCCCTGATTACATAAGGGTTTGGTTCCTCACGATTCGTTACATGAATCTTACGCAAGTTAAAAGTGACCTTTTCTAAGTCGTTATGTGAATATATGCAGAGAATAACCATTGATAATATCGCAGTGATCTTCCTTTATTTGTGAGTGAGGAAGGAGAGACAGGAGAGCTGAACTGCAGGCTCACCAGTGTTTGTTGAGCTTTAATGGTTATCAAGTGTGTGTGCTGATCACTTTATAATTCTAATATCTAAACACCAAATACAGAATGCACTTAAAAATATACAGTACAGATAATAATTCAGAATGACCTTTTAGCAAATTTATTTATTTGTGAAAAAACTGTATATGTCATTACCTACAGTGTTCAGTGTGTGGTAATTAAACACAGGACAAAATACACAGTAAATAGTAAAAACAGTAAACATAGGGAATTTTCAGTGAAAAAGCACAAGATAATGTGCAGAAATTACCATACAGTATGTGTACAAGAACAAAGAAATACTGAAATCTAAAACAGAGCCCTGGTGGAAACTGCACTAGAAAGTTTTATTATGGAACCCATAGATGTTTTAAGGTCTGAGTCTTGCATAAGGTAGGGAGAGGGTGTACACACAGACATAAAACATAGCTAATTATCATGCTTAGACCAAACTTTGTTCTGATAATCTTTAACTGAGATAGGAAGAGCTGTAAAAAAAAATTAAACAGCACAGCCTAATCATGCAAACAGGCATTTTAATGTTCTAGATAATGAATGTAAATATACAATAGTATACTCTAAACATGCAAAAATGCTAGGCAATAGAAGTAGCTAGTTCATTTGCCTATCAAAAAACATCATTTGAGTAGAAACTCATAAAAGGAAGGAGTCTCCTAGCATTAACACAAAGTTTCTGAATTATGGTCTACTTCTGTAAAATCACAGTACAGATCAAAGATTACTCTGACATTAAACTGTTCACCAGCAGCTCAGCGCAAGACAGGAGCAAGAAACATCATGGGAGTAAACCTACCCTAACAGACACAGTACAAACACTCCCAGGCCAGTACCATACTGCCTTTTGTAAAGAAAAAAGTCACAGCCCTACCAGAGAAAGCCTTCACATCATTTATTCAAATCAATTCCATCACTGCAAATTAGAGTGAAATATATATTTTGTGGAACATTTTGAAGAGATGGCAAAAAATCCAAATTCTCTTCCATTGATTTACAATGCTATATTATACCTACAATACTCTAGACTAATTCCGGTTTCTTCTGTACATAAAGTTTGCAGTGTTGATGAAGACATATAGAGTGATTTAACAACCACAAAAAGAGTGTCAAAATTTTAAAACTGTTTTAATTCAGATTAAATATAATTTAATCACCATTTCCAAATGGCAACAGTACAATAATTTCAGCAATTTATCTTAGCTAAATATAGTAACCATTGCCTGAGAATCAAAGTATTTCCATTTGGAGAGCCCAAAGCATTTCCCTTTTGGTGCAGAAATAAAAAGTTGCCCTTACCCCAGTCCTGTTCATACAAGGCTTGGGAAAGGCACCATGATTCACTTATTGGCATGCGTGGATGCATAAAAATAAAATGGAGTGTAAGAGTCGAAAAAACTCAATGGCTTTGAAACACACATACTAATTAATGTGGCATTCAAGTATGCAATACATAAGATAGCATTCATTCTACTTGTTCATAATTTAGCAACCTTTTCTTTTTTAACTATATTAATGGAATGACAGTTCAAAATGACATAAAAGTAGAAATAGTCATGGTATGTTTATCTGAAACAAGAAAAGACTGTAACAGTGTTCATGTTCAAAATGAAAGTGTTTAAATAAGGCCCGTGTACTATTTGCTTTTATATAAAAAAATATACTTTTGTTAAAGACCACCTCCTGGCCCCCTTCAAGGGTATGAACGGTAGTCTGAAATACTATAAATGGTCAATCAAATTCTGTCAGAAGTAACATCAAAACATGTAGAGTTTCTGTAACAAAGGGCCGAACCCTCATACTGCTATATGAGGCTCCCACAGAACAAATTTAGAAGTTAGTGAAAGCTAAAGTCACAAAATTTGAGCTTTACAGCATTTAGAAATACAGGCATTTGCTATTAAATAAATACATTGAAAATGGAGGTACTGCATGTGGCTTAAAGTATTCTATTCTACTACTTAATGAAGTAAACAGCTCAATTCATTTAATATAATTATAATTTTAATTATAATATAATTAAAAAACAATTTGAATGGAGAAACCGTGTTATCAAAAAAATATGCACACTGAAACACTTTAGAAACGCAATATGTATTTTCAACCTTAATTGACAATTGACAAGTGTCAATTAAAAAAGTAACAATATATGCTTTTTAGGATTAATATGTATAGCAATACTAATTTATTCTGTCAATGCATTTGTCCAAAACCTATACCAACTTATACAGCAGGGTATTACACTGAAGCGATCTGGGTGAAATAACTTGCTCTGGGGTAGTATCTCATTGGTAAAAAGAAACTACAGCCTTTCAGTTACAAGTCCAGGACCCTAAACACTGCTTCATACAGTACAAAAATTAAGCTGCTTTCATGAAGAATGTAGAGGTAAGCACACTGCAATGATGTTGTAGCTGAGTGCAGGAGCTCAGTGAGTGTTGCTGGCATGAATCAACTCAAGCAAATCCACCAGATAATCCAAAAGCTGGTAACATCCCAGGGAGTACTTCTGCATAGCAGAACTACAACTGCTGACAAAACCGGGCACCCTGAAAAGACCCATGAATCGCACTGAAATGATCACGAAACAGCGCTGAATAACCGAATACTAGTGCCCTTGCAACAATATCTGTGGATGCACAACTGCATCAGTAGGAAATATGGAGAATAGGAAAGAGCAAGATTGCCAGGTTAGTCTCACTTTGTAGTTGTAGAGCATTGCATTTAATTGGAATCAGGAAGGGTTCTTGAAGTTTAGTTTAAGACAACAAAGTGTTTTAATGATGACAATATTATAGTAATGGGGCCACTTGATACCCACTTGAGCAGTTGGAATGCTGTTAATAGTGATTTCACTACAAACTGCTATTTTAGTCATAATTTGATATTTGTGCTCCACTGACTCTTGCTGAATGTGGATCAACCTCCTCATACAGAAGGATTCACAGGGATTTCTGGTTCATGCACTGGTCCACTATACTGCTGACAATGTCTCATCACGTCAAAATATGAAAGGATTCCCAGGCAAAGAACAACATAAACCTGAGGTACCTAACGTATACAACCATACAATGTCTCAACTTTCAGATAAGAAATTTTATAATGATGCCACAGCCAAACTTTCCAAAACTACATTCATTCTGTCAAATGCTTGTAGGGAATGTGGGGTTGCATTTCCAAAATGTTTCAGCAATATCATAAACAAATTCCTCTGTAAATATGTAAACAAAGCAAATTGTGGGCAATACAAAAACTGATTACTGTGTGTTACTGTTTTAAAAAATGTTTGCTTTGCAGTATTATGCTAAACAGAATAAAACTTTCTTGTGCAAGTTTTTTATAAATGCAGCTGATATAATAAATAATAAGACCGCTGTTTTGAAAGTCCAATCAACTTCCTCTGCCTGCTGCTAACATGCAACAATAAAAGTGGTTAGAACAGCCATTAGGACAGAATTGTCTGAACAATTTGAACCATTGGTCTTTTGAATGTAGATCCTTTCAATCCCTTTTAATTTAATTTAGAGTAATTAGGACAGAATAAAAGAAACTGGTTAAGAAAAAAGACCTGAATCTTTATCAGAAATCTAGTACAGTTCTGTCAGCTGCAAAAAGAGCCTCCTCATTTGTTCCCTTCATATTACACTCCAGTCACCCTCCCTGGTGCAATTCTGTTAGATGTTAAGTTAAACATGAAGCTGAACATGACATGACAGAATTAACTCCACTTAAACTAGGTAACAAACATTTCATTTCAGTATGTAAATAATTAAACACTGACTTTCAAATTTATTAGCCTACCATCACAGTATATTTATAGAACTAAGCTTGAGAGCTACACTGAGTTTATAAAGAATAGAATAAGCACTGAATTGATTAGTTTTTCGTATATGGATGTAAGAAATCAAAGGCTCCACAATGCCAGTGTTATGGTAAGACTACACAATCTGCAATGGCCTTGTAGCGATGATTAACATTTCCCAGAGACATCCAGTGACAGAACTGGCACGAAAACCCCAGCTTTTAAACGTTATTAGTGTAAGCATTATAACCTTTCTATTTTACCATCTTGAGTTTTCTAAGCATATTTTTTTGAAAAGAAATAACAGCCATCTTAACTCTGCAATTATAGAACAAGCAATAATGAATAAAAAAAGAACTGAAATGGTCAATGTTATGAGTTTTGTAAATGGCCCTTAAAACAAAAAAAGAGCCCAGGGTACTTACCAGCTTTCTCCGACTTCTCCTTCTGCTCCTGCAGTTCATCGCGTTGGGCGGCTACCATCTGGATCCGAGCGCGAAGCTGAGCGATCTCCTCCTCCTTCATCTCCAGTGTCTCGTGCATCTGCCTTTTGGTTTCAGCAATGACCATCCCCTGAGACACCAAAAGAAACAGCACCCCAATCAGCTGTGGTCCAGCTACCCCCTCTTCTTTTTGTCTAAATTTCCTCTATTGCACTACAGTCTAAGCGACTATGTGGTCATGAAGAAAGTTCTGCAAATCCACCCTGTGGACACTTCTGCCATCCCTGAACTTGCCTATTCTGGGGTTGCCAGTCCCCCAAAGTTATAGCGTCTACTGACTGTTCAGCTTGTGCAATCAGCTTTCTGGACACAATTCAAGATTCCACTCTTTATTTGAGTGCAACCACCCAACCAGTTTAACAAGAGATGAGAAGAATGAACTCGTTTATAGTTTGTTTTTACCTTTATACAGTATAACAAACAAAATGTAAAAACACTAGTTAGTCTATTGTGCTAGTCCCCTTTTTTAATCTTTCAAACCAGGAGTTCACTTTCATTCAATGCAGTTTTTTAAAAGAATTAAAGCAACTTGGTTACATTGTACAATATGAAACAATGTTATTGTGGACTGACTTTATGAATCCAAACAATCATGTAACAAAACAAACTTGTAAAATAAAGTCCTTGACTATAGATTGAGTAGTGTCTGAACAGACAGGAACTGACCTGCATTCTAAACTCATCCTTTTTTTTAATTGATTACTCGATCAATAAAAAAAACTCTGCATGCTCAGCAATCTATTTCTATTTACAATGTTTTCATTGTGCTGATGACATAAAATTCCCTTCTCATTAGAAGTGGAACAATAATTACATTGATAAAGAAGTTATCTCATATAATACATTTAAAAAATACACACAGGCAGTCATTTCAAGGGTGACATTACACCCTACATCATTCACAATGTCTTGCTAACATGTTCAGACGCTTACCGCAATGTCTCTTCTGATTAAATTACAAAATGATGCACATACTTCTTTAAACTTAATTTATTCAAAGTCTGAATGCTCAAACCAAGAACTTCTAAGGGTATAATAAGTTACAGTAAATGGCAACAGAACTGAAGAGAAAATAAAATTAATTAGTACATAAGTATTCAGATTTTTGTCTTTTTGGGTAAGTCTCTAGCAACTTTGCACATCATCTTGATGCAATCTCTTCCCATTCTTGGCACATTTTCTCAAGCTCTCTTAAGTTTTTTCTAAAGCAATTTATGGAAAGCATTTTCAAGTCTTTCTGCTGATTCTAAAAAGGATTCAAATCAGGATTTTAACTGGGCCACTCAAGGACATTCACTTTATTATTCTTAAGCCACTTCAGTGTATTTTTGGCCTTGGCCTTCATATCACTGCCCTGCTGAAACATGAATTTTTGCCCCAGTTTTAGGTCTGAAGCAGGTTTTCCTTCTCAATATGCCCCATCTATGTTCCTATAAATGTTGACAGACTTCCCAGTCCCTGCTCATAAGAATCTGAATTACAGTATAACATAATGCTGCCACAGCCATAGTTGACAGCAGTTCTGGTTTTAACTGAGTGATGCACTATGCTGGATCTGTGTCACCTGTAACTCTTTGCATTTATACCAAAATATTCCAATTCTATCTTGTCTGACCACATCTATGCAGTGTCACTAATGTGCATTGTTTCCAAAGCCCATGCACTGGGACATGTGGTGTTTTTCTGTGTTCCTTACACACCCCTTTGTGGAGTGACAGTGACATTATATCCCAACAGTATTTCAAAGTTACCACTGAATTCAAAGCGTCATTAGTAACCAGTTTCTGCCCTGCCCAGACGGCTCGATCTAGGCAGTGTCTGGGTGTCTTTCTCTTCTTAATAACTTACTTTATAATTCTCAAAGAGATAATAAGGACCTTCCTAATGTTTTAGACCTTACCAGTCAGGCAATGAATTTCAAGCAGAGAATGTTGTATTTTTCTTGAAAGCATGGCAACTCAACTGATTTTGTGGCTCCTTAAGATAACTTTGTGTGCTTAAAGGTTTGCCATAAAAAAGGGTTTTACATACTTATACAATCATTACCTTGCCATTTTTCTTTCATATTAAATGTGAATGGGGTGGAGTAGGTTGTGTTTAGAACAGATATTCTTAACAATTTCTAAGTGTCATGGGTGCAGGTTTTAAAGCACTAAAAAGTGAAAACTATGCAAAGGTCTGAATACTTTTGCAAGGTACTGCACTTCCTGTTATTTAAAATTTCTTAGCTCCTCCAAATCATAATGAATTCTGCTTTCACATTCTAAGCATTGCATATACTGTGGGTATAATTTGAAAATGGAAATAGTGTGATATTTCCTTTTGCCTACTCATTTTGTTCATTATTCACAACCAGAACAACCTAAAAACAATCAGAGATAGTCTTTCAAAATTGTAAGAGGTCACACAAAGAAACATTCCACTATAGAGAAACAGAATATAGCACAAAGAAAACAGTGGGCATCCTTATTTCTAAACCCGGTACAATATGTGTGTGTAGCAGTGCTTCACAGTGATATCGGTCAAAAGCATTCCACAGGGGCCTGGCTCTGCAGTTCCTGCTAGGAGGGTTCATGCTCCATTATCTCTCTTTATCTTGTGTTCAAGAGGTCAAAGGTTTATCACAGCTGTGGTGATGAAAGAAGTCATTTTCTGTTCACTTTCAGCAAGGCCTGTCCTTCAAATTAAGTCAGTTTGTTTTTCTAATTTTCATACAAACCATAAGACGGAGAGCAGTTTCTAAACTCACATAAACAGAATTTAACTTTTAATACAAATCTGATGGGGGGCAAAGGCAGAAAAAGACAAAAGTACAATTTTAACAATGTAAAAATAACAACAGGAAATAGCGTCAGTTCACTGTTTGCTCTACAATATCTATACTCTATACTGCCATACCACCCTGCAGCTCACAACTGGCAATCCACTGAAGATAAGCAGGTGTGAGCTTGGTCAGTACCTTGATGGAGACCTCCTAGGGAAAACTAAGATTGCTGCTGGAAGAGGTGTTGGTGGGGACAGTAGGGGACGCTCAACCTGTGGTCTGTGTGGGTCCTAATGCCCAAGTATAGTGATGGGGACACTGAACTGTAAAGTCGCCGTCCTTCCGATGAGATATAAAATTGAGTTCCCGACTCTCCATGGTCATTAAAAATCCCAGGGCATTTCTCGAAAAGAGTAGGGGTGTTAGGCCAGTGTCCTGACCAAATTTCCCACTGGTCTTTTTACCAATCATGGCCTTCTTATAATCCCCATCTATGAGTTCTCCTCCCCACTGATATCTGGTATGTAGTGAGTGTACAAGCGTACTATGGCTGCCATAACATCATCCAAGTGGTGCTGCACATTTGTGGTGGTGGCGGGGAGTCCCCCATATCTGTAAAGTGCTTGGAGTAGAGTGTCCAGAAAAGCACTATAAAAGTGTAAGCAATTATTATTATACTCATCACTATCAAAAGTACACATATAAAAAAAAATTATACTGTGCGAAGCACCATCTTCCTAGACAATAACATATTTAAATGTTTTAATAAATATGACATTAACCCTGAACCGCCTGGGAAAAGCTAGCATGAAAACCAAGGTAATATACTAATTTGCTAACAAAGACTGTTTATCTGTCTGGAAAGGTTTCCAAACTGTTACCAGTTAACAAAAGGAAATCCCCTCAGATACTTCTCAGTTAATTACTTAATTTTGCAGACGTTACCAGTCTTAAAGGCCTCACCACAAACGGCGATGAGAGCCAGTACAGATATAATCTCAACACCACTAAAACTGTAGAAATAATAATTGACTTCAGAAAACATCCCCCAGCACCCTCCCCCATGGTAATCAAGGACACTTCTGTCAATGTGGTGGAATCCTGCAAATTCTTGGGCATTATCAACTCAAACACTCTCTGCTGGGATGAAAACATTGCTTCCATTATAAAGAAAGCACAGCTGCGCATGTACAGTACTTTTTGAGACATCTCAAGAGCCATTATTGAAAGTGTGATTACTTCTTCTATCACCGTCTGGTTTGGCTCCGCTACTGTACAGTCCAAAAACCAATTGCAACGCATTATCAAGTGTGCTGAGAAAATGACTGGCTGCAGTCTTCCATCCCATCCTGTGCTTTACAAATCTGGAGCAGTGAATTGGGCCACCAAGACTGTTGCAGATCCCTCCCACCCTGGTCATCATTTATTTCAAAAGCTTCCCTCCGGAAAATGTTTTAAAGCAATCAAAACCAAAACCAACAGACACCTGGACAGTTGCTTTCCCAATGCCGTATCCTTGCTTAACCAGCATTCTCCCCCAACAACTCCCCGTTTCAGCTGGAAAAAAAAACTTTGAACTATTATTACTGCTTAGTTCATACATTTTGTGTATCTGATGCTTAATAACTGGTGTGTCTTCCCAACATGTTTACATAGTTGCACCTTACTTCTCAGACCACACTTTCGCACATGGTCTGAACTTGCCTATAATGTCTATATTGTTCATATATTTGCACTGTAATGTTAAATGTGAATGTTCCTGTGTCTTATATACATACTGTAATGTCTGCATGTTCTGCACCGTGAGCACATATTGTAACTGTGTTGTGACTCCCCCATCTTTTGTATATTGTCCAATGTAACTATGTCAGTAATGCTAATGCTCCTTTTGCACCCGTGTGGGTGTTGTGTTGAGCAGGTTCCAATGTACCAAAGCAAATGTCTATACCTGACACGCACTGGCAAATAAAAGCGATTCGAATGCTGATTCTCTAAAAAACAGATTTGGGTTTGCAGCAAGTTAATGTTTTATATGAAGTGATTTATGACCAATTTACAAACACACCAAACACAAACAATACTCTATGATGTTGCACTATGTGTAATATTTTAGTTATTTTACAGATTATTGTGGCATCTTTTGGACCCATGTGGATAACATGAGAAGAGAAGGGTTAAACAGGGATAAAGCAGTCTGAATACCCTCGCCTTGCCCAGACCCACCTTATCTTGCTCCAGTTGCTCAATGAGATTCTTGGCATCACGGAGTTGAGTGATAAGCCTCGTCTTCTCAGTGGTGTGAAGTTCCTGAAGACAGAAGACAAGCTTAATAAAGGCCTCTGAGCAACATACAGTAAGATCTGCATCATGTCCCTTAGCACAGAGGTAATAATAATCATGTTTTTTAATTCAATAATTTGGCTAAAGCTTTACCCAAAGTGACATTTATTTACACTTATATTTAAACATCTGGATATTCTATTCTACTGTCGTAATCTGAGAGAAAGACGCATCCAGGATTTGAACCCAAAAGTTTTTGTTTTGAGTTTAGAGTCCTGACCACTCCTCCACAGTGTTGCTCTGATAATGATTTAGTCCACCTGCTTCTTAACATTCTTTAATTATTTTGTAGAATTTAATCATTTTTAGTGTACTTAAGGTAGTGAGTAAACCAGGCACTCAAGATTCAGATTAATGAAATAATGAATTATATTCCCCTGTGGCACCACAGTTTTCACTTTTAAAGTGTGCCCTCCTAAACACTGATATCTGAAAAAAATCACTTTGTAGTCACTCTTAATGATGTGTTGTTAAGCCATTGCATATTTCACTTGCTCAATATACAACATGCATCACCCAGAGCAAAGACAAAGTTCTATATTCCATAATATTAGCAAGAAGAAGATGGTGAGTTAAATGTACAAGAAGCATTTAAGACAAATCTCCAAGGCCTGAAGGTACATATTCTGTACAATTGAAATGCAGGAAGTAAGAGACATTAATCTTGTGTCATTAACAAAACTCATGTCACTCAAGACAATGCAAATACACAATGACCACTAATGTAGCAACTATTTTTAATAAAAGTGTAAAACTGTGGAAACAATCTGAGCTAAAGCATCATTTGTACTGAAATGGGTAGTGTATTCTCAACAGGGATTTAGAAAGTGTGGGCTGTGCGTAACATGCTAGGAATTCTTTGGACAATAATGGATAAAGAGAATACATGGTATTTTTTGAGTGTTTATTGAGTAATTAAAAAAAATTAGGCATTCAATAAAGTGCATCAGGATTGAGACCTGCCTATAACAAAGAATGAATGCTCAAATTGGGTTGATATCATAGTGGAGTACCACAAGGATCCTTATGCATTACTGTTCTTCATAAATGATATCAATTAGATCTAAATTATGGTATCCTAATCTAGATCTAATTGATCTAAAATCCAAGTAAGTAGATGACACCAAAAGAGAAAAAAATGACACAAAAAAAGATTATCTTATGGATATCCCAGTGTATTATGAAAAAGAAGACATAAATGGAAACTCTTTTTTATAAATGAGAAGATCAGGCATTTTTTTTTTTTAAATAGAGGATTCTGGAACAAGCTCTTCAGCCATCATGGCATATACCCTGGCTTCATTCAAGAAGCTTGATGAGACGCTTGCATCAATTAGCCACTAGCAAACAAACAAGCTGGATGGACCGAATGTCTGATGCTAATTGGTAACCTCACTATATATGATTACATCAAAATACAACACAATTACTATCTGAAAAGGAAAAATGATACCTTTTTTCGACTGGCAAGATTCTTGCTAATCCACTATGCTTAATGTACAAACATAGTAACTATGCAATTCTGTGAGAAACCTCAGATCTAACAGATACTAGATCTGCAGTGTGGGTTCTCAGAGAGAGACACATCACCCTACCATCCTCCACACTCAGGACACAGGATGAGGTGGGGCAGAAATACAGAGTGCAGACGTTCCACACGGCTAAAGAATCATGACACCTTTTGGAACCCCTGGTGCATTCACCCTCCCCTGCACAAACAACTCCTACAAAGAACAAACATTCCACATGGATGGAATGCATCTGAAATAATGACCTTAGTGAGCTCCATATTTCCTCAAAAAACATTTTAAATTCATATAATATTTTATACAAAGCAACACGCATAAAAAAGGAGGACATAAACACTACATAAACAGCTAATCTCAAATCTGAACTGTATTGCCATATGTAACCGGTACATGTACTGGTACAATTGAATTCTTTCTTACAGTAAGTCTCATGATTGGTAAACAAAAGTGTAAAACACAAAAGTGTGGACAGTGCATCAAGACAATATACAAACAGTAGACAATGTACAAGTAAACAAGTAAACAGTTTGAATGTAAACAATTCAGACATGTAAACAATGACTGCAGTGTGCAATAAGTAAAATTATAATGAGGTAGATGGTGTAGGTGTGGTCTGAGGGGCATGGCCAAATGTGTTCGCCAATCACACTGCTATTGAGGAGTCTGGTAGTAAATGTTCTTATGCTCTTGTCTCTTGCCTGAGGGCAGTGGGGTGAAGAGCTCATGCCTGGGGTGGTGACTGTCCTCTGTGATGGCCAGAATTTGTTTAAACTCTGTGAGACCATAGCTTATGATCTTCGGAGCCATATTCACCATTCTCTGCAGTGCCTTTCTCTACAGAGAGGTGTTTCTGTACCACGCAGTGATCCCATTTGTGAGGACACTCTCGATGGTGCAGTGGTAGAAGTTCACCAACACAGGCACTGGCATCCCCCATTGCTTGAGGCACCTCAGGAAATAGAGGCGCTGCTGAACCTTCTTCAAGATAATGTCTGTGTTCACAGTCCAGGTTAGGTCATTAGTAATCTGAATTCCCAAAAACCTAATGCTGGTGACTGTTTACACTTCCATTCCATCAATACTGAGTGGGATGTGAGTGTGCGGCCTGTGTCTCGGAAAGACCACTATTAGTTCTTTAGTCAGGTTATAATTATGACACCACCTCAGCAGCTGTACGACTTCATCCCTGTAAGTGGACTCGTCATCATCACTGATCAGGCCTATTATAGTGGTGTAGTCTGCAAATGTAATGATGTGGTTGTTGCTGTGTCTTGCTGTGCAGTTGTGAGTGAACAGGGAGTACAACCTAGGACTCACACAGCAGCCTTGTGGGGTGCCAGTGCTCAGGGTGAGTGGTGTTGATGTTTTATTACCTATTGCAGTTGCAGACAGAGTTGTACAGCCCTAGTCCCCTGAGCTTTGTCACCAGTTGGCTGGGTATGATTGAATTGAATGCTGAACTGTAGTCCACAAACAGCATTCTTACATATGAGTTCTTAGTGTCCAGGTGTTCCAAGGCTGTATGTAGAGCTACAGAGACAGCATCATCCACTATTCTGTTATTCTGGTAGGAAAACTGCAAGGGGTCTAGGGACTCTGTGATGGAGGAGTTGCTATGTTACACCACCAGCTTCTCCAGGCATTTCATCACCACAGATGTTAATTCTACTGGGCAGTTATCATTCAGGCACATCACTTTTGCTTTTTTGGGGAGCGGATTTATTGAAGCAGGTGGGGAGAGTGGACTATGACAGTAAAGATGTCTCAGAGATACAAAAAAGCAAATCACTCTGAATAGAGTGGCAGTTAATGCTGCTGCCTCACAGCTCTTGAGCACTGGGTTCAGTTCCAGACTGGGGAACATTCTGTGAAGTTTGCATGTTTTGTCTGTGCTGCCATGTTTCCTTCCACTTTCCGGACTGTGGCTATGTTAACTAGTGTCACAAATATGCTTACAGTATGTGTCCAGGATATTGACCTGTCTCGTCCTCTTTGCTTCCAGAACGGGATCCATCTTACCATGACCCAAGATGGAATAAGCAGATTTCTGCTAGTGCATGGTTGTAATTCTGAGACACATATGAGAAGTCTCTTCAACACCTTCCAATTAAAAAGAAACATAACTTTTCTATTTCTTTCCCTCTTACATACTCTCCATTTTTTGCATACTTTTTCCCTTCATACCACAGTCATTATTCTTTAAAAAGCTCAAGCATCTAAACATTCAAATATCATGCTAACAATAAGAGATATTAAGATTAAGAAAAAAGTCATGATGCAGACTGCAAAATGACTTGTGAAAACAATCTCTTATGGAATTTAAAGAATTTCTTTTCACGAGACTAGAATGACATAAAGCCGCGGCAGGCCTTTTTTTAAGATTTTGCTATTCACACACACGTTGTTCCAATAAACTGTGAACCGCAGCTTTTCCTGTGAAACACTAGGGCTGAAGAGTTGAAGGGTTCTCAAAAATTGAAGGAAAGAACAGATTCCTCTCCAGCAATGATGAATTACCATTCGTGAGAAGCTCTTTTATAGGCCAGAAAATGTAAATCATTCTGTTTATCCATGCAATACAAATTATTAGCTGCTTCAATGAGGTTTTCACAGAACATTAAAAATAAAATAATGCAGATTTTAAGGACATTACTGCCAAAAATAAGGACCAACCTTTAAATAAGCACTTTTCAAATGGTAAACTGGAAAAGTGTCCATAGTAGTGAGTAAATAAGCTGTTTAATTTTGGTTTTACTATTTTTCATCAAAGGAAGATCCAGATCTGAAAAATTATCTACTTCACAAGCAGTGTCTTAGTCATTGCCCTAGTAAGTTACCAAACCCAAATATTGTTCAAAGGATTTGAAAGCGTTGAGTGGAGCTGGTTGTTCCATATCAGTTTACTGTATAATTAACATTATTAACTCAAAATGGTTAAAATTATAATTCACATTATAGTGCAAGTCTAATCAGAAGTTAGTTTGATGGTAGTGTCCTGGGTACAAGGTTCTACATCCCTAGGACACAACATTTTAGTAACTGGTAAAAATTTGCAAGTAATTAGCTTCAAAACCAAAGGGACTTTCAATGTGACTCGAAAAGGTAAAAAAAAAGATATGCCGTACCTGCAGAAAAACACTATATTCTGTAATTTAGAGCTAATATTATTTGTAAAATGTGCAATTATTTTAGCAGTCCAGTTCTTAACTGTATCATAGTTATGAACAAAGAGAAAAGAAGAAATCCTATCAAGTCACATATGAAAGGAGGTTTAAATGGAATTACCCGATTCTTGTCAAGCATTGATTTGTGAGAAAGTTATAAGAATATCACTCGTTTTGTAGTATGGAAATGTTTAAAACTGCTGAGTAAAGTTGACAGGTTTATGCACCGTTACTAATATCAAGAGCAGCAAGAACATGTACTGTAAATGTCTCCAGGGATTTAATCCTTTTAAAAGGATGAGTGCACTTTTAACCTCTGGTCTTCCTTCCCTTTCCAAGGTCTACAAGTTTTCACAGATCTCTTAAGCCAATTCCTGTCCATTGCCAAGAACACTTTCTAAATATCCTGTGCTCAGATTTTAATAACTTTATCCATCATGGAATATTTTTAAATAGTGAAGAAGTTCAGTACTAACAAACTGACAATAAAAATGTGCCAATGCGGTATTCACTTATGGTAACCATTATTATGTTCTTCCTTTCCTAACTGTCCTGTCTCAGGCATACATTTCTCCAACTCTGTACTGTATGGGCTACTTAACTCTTTTCTCAACAAGTTGCAATATGTTAAAAACTCAAGGGACAAGTAAAGGTTTATTCCATGAAGAAAGGAAATGTGTTTAGGCTGTGGAGTCTTCTTTGGCTATGTTTCCTTTCTTCTTTTTTCAGCATGGAATAAACCTTACTTGTTCCTTTGCTGCCTACGCATGATGACGTAGCTACCTACTTGAATATGTTGAAAACTGTAGCTAAAATACTTACTCACACCAGACTCTGGCAGCATATCACTCCCACACTTAAGTCTCTACATTGGATGCCGATGAAGCCACTTATTCAATACAAGACCTTGTTGCTGACTTTCAAGGCTCTAAACACCCTGGCTCCTTCACACACCTCTGAACTCCTCCATATTTACACTCTCCCCCGTAGGCTCCATTCAGCTGAAGCCGGTCCTCTACTCACTGTCCCCAGGACTAAATCACAAATCACCGTGCCTTCTCTGTCATTGCTCCAGTGTTGTGGAATGACCTTCCTCAAGAGACAACTTCTGTAACTCTCTTCAAGTCTGAACTTAAAACATACCTTTTTACCAAGGTCTACATCTAATTTCATACAGTCAATTTGTAAAAACCCGTATGCTTTTATTTTTTCTCATTTACTCTTACTGTACTTTTCCTGTCTTTTTCTTTATTCATGATGAACCGTGTTCTTGGGTTTGGAAAGCAGCTTTATAAAAAAAGCTAGTACAGTTCTATCTCAGGATCATTGCCAGCTGCCTTCCCAAAATAAATGAAAACCTGTGTGGAACAAAGTTGGAGACCAGCTGATTCCGATTGTTTTGGTACTAAGGATCTGTTGTTCTACCAAGCAAAAACTGAAGGGGGATCCAATTCAGAATATTTGACTCATTCTTACCAGTAAGTAAGATGTGGTCCAACTTTTATATAAGTTTACTACTGTGTCATATACTGTATATAGCTGAATGCTTGCGATAGTTAGAATTGAATAAATAACTGTATGTTTTCCAAGATACTCCAGATGCAACTAGCTATGTGATATTCTATACATTTCAATGCACCATGAAATGAGCGCAGCTGCAGTTAAAAGCTGTTTGAATTTGATCATGTGCCAAATCAAAATGGCTTTAATTTCTATTGATAAATGATATAGAGACATACTAGACACTTTAGATGTTTAAGAGAACAACTTTTTTTAAGACAGGCTTAGGCTACATTTATGTATAAGAAATACTATAAAACCTCATCCACTTTCATATTCCACATTTGGTAACACTTCTTTTGAGAGGGTTCTCTAATTTATGTCTGTGGGTCTTGACTATTCAGGATAGTTAAGTTTCTACAGTAATGATAATGATACTGATTTTACAAAAATTAAACTACTGCAGTCTGGACTGCAATTCAAGGGATCTTTCTTCTATATACCCTTACTTTACTTAATGAAGTACTACATTGTACCCACCGTACCCCTCTTCCTTAATATCCCATATAATTGATAACACAATATAATCTGATACATGGGTCTATTGTGTTGTATTTGAAATACAATTGTATATGCACAACTAAACTCTTCAAATAATTTTAGTACAGAGCTGGGGACTAATTTCAGCAGCCAAATTAATTGCAATTGTTATTAACCTAATGTATGGAGCTACAGTATGCACTTAACATGGGATCATCCCCAGTATGTTGCTATTAACCCACAGCGGTTACGTTTTCATACGTAATTACTTTGAGTGTGTTTGAACATTTGCTTTTCTCTTTGAAGCAGTATGTTACAATGTGTAAAAGTAAAATAAAATTCGATTTAATGTGCTTTAATTTAAGCTGTTAGGTCACAAAGGTACCCTTTCCTTTGGAAAAGGTGTGTAGACTTTATATAGGCATGTAGATAAGGATATCACTACTAGAGAAAGCAAATGACAGTAGGTAACTAAACATGAAATGAAGGCATGCAAAGTTACCTTAATGAACTTGTTTTTGAAGCAAAACATAGGCAACATAATAAAATACTTTGTTTTACTATGCTAATTATGGTAAAAAGAGTGCAAGTTATTAAACATAGGATTTTAAAGCACAACAAGTTGTTAATTTTGCTGAAGTATAAATAAATGTTTTTGACAAACACTTTTATGAATGTTATTACAATATTTTTAATATGTATCAATACTGCTTAAGATTATGTTTTTTTAAAATTGTTGCATTTAAATGTAAATGACAATTAGCTGCAGAAAATGTTAGCCAAATAAAGCCATTTAGCTGACAATACTTATTCTTGTATTAAACTATTCTCACGGCAATGTAGCACAATCTATTCCAGCATTAATGACAAGGTTGATAAAACCTTGTGCCATTTTATTGCATGGGGATGTTTCCTAAACTTACATTCATTCTTTAAGTGAAGGTTTCTTGAGGTTTTTAGCCTCCCAAACATGGTGCAAAATGACAGGTTAGACTTTGTTGAACATCTTGCCAACTCATGTTAACCAGATGCTTAAGAAACTCCTTACTGAATGCAAACAAAGCAGCTGTGAAACATCATCTAACACTTGCCAAAGAAAACTGCTGTGGGTGCCCCTTATGTAATATAATGCTTACACAGTAGGTAGGACCTGAAATCTCTGTTGTCTATTTGGGTGATAATGGCACTCCCTGGAACCTACTGTGATTTGAGTTGGTTTGAAGATTAAAAACACAGAAATTTGATCATTCTGAAACAAGTCTGGATCCTCAAGGTCAGTACTGATGAGTAATTGCTGATTGTTTATTGATTATTTGTAATATGTGATTTGTAAGCATGACAGCTGATGCTGATTGCTCACTCCTGAACCTGTTTATTTCACATTTCTTATTAGAAACAACCACATCTCATTGTACTCATGACTATTTTTGGGCATATTATATAAAAATACCAAAGCTATACACAGAAAGCAAAAAATGCAGTATTTAAAACTAAAATGTTTCTAAAAAGTATCTAAAACTCAGGAAGTATTGCATGTATCTCACTTTAAAAAGATACAAGATTCTAAATTCAGATACAAGATACTCACTACCTAATTTTCAGAATTAGAACTCACTTATTTGAGTATGTCCAGATGCTGATATAACTTGAATAGATTAATGATGACTCTAATCACTCTGGGAAGTTATTACTGCAATGTAAGATGAGCTAATTTTCACTGAAAAATATTATTAAGATCTAAGGCATTTTAAAGTTGTTGTCAAAGTTTTAATAGACAACTATTAAAATACTGTATATTCCAGCTATGAAGTTATACCCTCACATTAAGCCATGATAACTCCTTGTTTAAAAAAAACAAAGATTATAATAATGATTTCCTAACAGACTTGTTTTTCACTTGGCAGAATCCACTTGGAAAATGGGAAAATGTCATACTGGCTTTTAGCCTGAAGTACTACACTAGCAAAAATAGACTAGCAAGTAGCTCAGAGTTTGATTTAAACTTTGAAAGCACAGCTAGTATCAGGCTTTTAAACCCTGATGCGTGATTGGTATTAAAAAGTCTTCTAAGTGTACAACCACTAACAGCAGTGATTTTTTATAAGTTATTGCAGTTTTTTCATCTTGATCTTCAGTTTCATAAGGTGACATGTTAGCCTTGGCAGAACCTATGTACCTTCATTTTCTCCAGCTCCTGGAGGCGCTCCTGTAGCTGCTCTTGCAGGGCCTCCTTCTCACTGCTGAGCTGAGAGTTGCGCTCCTTGTGTGTGTGGAGCAGCTCCTTGCACCTCTGCAGCAAATTCTCCTGCCGCTTTACTCGCTGCTGGAGAGCTTCCAGTGTCATTGCTGCATCTCCACTTCCCCCTAGTGGTGGGAGAGCCAAAGTCTTAACTACATCAGAAGAAACTTCAACTTGTACTGAAATGCAGAACATCAGCCAGGCTATAGACTTCTGAGGCATTTAATAATTAAAATAGAAATTGCATGCTGAACATTGACATTTTTTTCTTAGGAGAGGATTGTATGCAACTTTCAGAGGTTTTGCTTTAAATCATAAAAATGTCACTGATATTTGGAAGCTTAACACCATAGAATGTCCTGCATATTTATCATTCCTTTTTTTCCGTTCTTTTAGAAACATCACATTAATTTGACACGAGGCTGATATGTTTTTCTTGCTCATTTAAAAAAAACCCTGCAACACTGCTAAAGGAGAAACAATGAAAAAATAGAATCAAATATCTTATAAAATTAAAAACAAGGCTGTTGTGATCTATTGCATCTGATCACCAGCTATTGGACCCTGACTATAAAAAGGAATTATAGCCCTTATCACTCCACACACTGATCTAGCATTCTTCTAAAGCAATGATTACACCCCTTTTCAAATATACATTGAGCATGTTAGAAGGCCTACCTTCAGAAAGGCTGGAGGTATCTGTGATCCCTTGTGTGGTGTTCTCTGGGGAAGACTCGGTGTCTCCTGCCTCTGCAGACTGGGGTAATGTCTCACTGTGATCTGAAGCCACCTGGGCAGTCTGCAAACGCTTCTTCATTAGTGCCACCTGTGCAGACAGACAGTACAAACATCAGCATGCAGACATGCACTGCACAAGGTGAAGACTTCAGCCCAGTCTATATTTGTCAATGGAGAGAGAAAACTTTAATACCATGTCATTGTGTCATGTATTCCTTCAAGAATTCCCTATCTCTAATGGTGGAATTATGATTCTGAGATACTAAAGCATTCAACAGATCTATTTACCTCATCCAATAACAAACTACCTATTTGTACAATTACCTACAAAAAAAGTCTATTTTTATGTTTGTATATTGTATGGTCTGTGGAAATTCACTTAAAGTTTAAAAGCTGGGTACTTTTATTTTTTATGACAAATTAAGAGGACACTTCACAAATAAATGAAGAGCAATGCTAGCCCACACCCTATCCTCTCTACCCATCATCCCCCCACCACTTCTACTGCAGAGATCTCCACCTGTGTCTGCAGGACAGTGATGAGCTGGTCCTTCTCCTCCAGAGCAGCATCAAACTCCTCCTGCAAGTGCTTCTTTGCCTGCTGGTCCATCTGTAGCTCCTGGCCATCACAAACAGAAAGCATTTACAATACCAGTGTGCCAGCTCTCTTCACCTAACAGCCAGAAATTCAACTTTTTAAAAATGTCATTCTACTATATCTTGATCTCATCAGAGCAGAAAGGGAGGAGTTGCAACCTCAATTGTTAAAAGCATGAGAACAGCTGAAGATGCATGTCTCACGACCTTCCTTCATAAAATAAATTTAAACTTCTTTCATTTTTCTTTTTAACCTTCCAAACAGAGATGCTAATGATTTATTTTTTAACTGTTCCGGGGAAGAGCACTACATTTTATGTTTTAATTTACTTCAAGGTTCCTGGGGCATTACATAATTCCAAATGAAGTATTTCGAGGCTATATTCCTGCTAAAGTCTTATCTGTCCCCAGGCACACATACCTATTGCTTTTTAAGACACAGAAAGACTTCTGCTTAAGTGTTTTTGTAGATGAGCTCAAAATATTTGTGTCAATTACTATTTTTGTTTATTCCTCACAAATGTACTGTTCTTCAGGTTACAGTGAAAACTGAAAACTATATGCACCAGAATAGTTGAGAAATTACATGTGACATGCCTGAGCTTATCTCTTCCACACCTGCAGCCTTCTGCGCCAATGGCCATTGCCTGCTCAAGCTACAATGATATTCACTAGAATAAGTCTATAAAGCACTCAAAAACAAAAATTTAGGCCTGACCTAATCTATAAATTCTTATTGACCTATTAATTTAATTGCTGATCACAGAAGGCTTGCAATCTGGTAGTACAAACATGTCTCCCTACTCCCTTTTTAACCCACTGCTCCAATGGTAAGCCTATGTTGCAGAGTCCTTAATATAACTACTTTCAAAATCTTATGTCGACTTTTTCTGTAAAAAAGCAATGTTAAATGTGTCTTGCACAGCCCTACTGTAGTGAGCAGAATGCATTTTTTCAGCTGGTTTGTTTTTTGCACAAAGATGTTGGCTTATTACCATCATCTGTAAAGACTAGTAAAAGTCGGGATGAAGACAGACAACTTGCCTCTCTCAGCTCCCCAATCCTTCGCAGTGCCTTGTCTTGGCTTTGACTCAAAATTGCCTGAAAAGAATCCAATGAATAATTAAATTATACAGTTTTACTTTGTATTCAAGATAGCCATGCAATCTCTACTACTAAATATATTTGCACTTCACTTCAAAACATATATTTTTGGAGAGATCAAAACATTGTATTTTGTCTTTGTACAACACCAGCTGCAACATTAAATAAACCAGGTAATAAGCCACCACCAAAACGTGGTAGTTTTATGACAAAATGCAAGTTATGGCTTAAATATGCAGATTAAAACAGTGGAACAAATAGTTTTAGCATGGTATCTCCATGGAGATATTTTTGTTGTCTGCAATAAATGACACCACAATGGGAAAACAGACACACAATGGTAAATCTCAAGCTAAGGGCAAGTCATAAAGTCTATTAGTCTAAATATCCATAAAAAACAACTGAGGCAAATGCAATTTCTTATTCCCTTGGTTAGAACTGGATTATATGACAGGTGCTTGGCAGGATCAGTGGCTTCTGAAGTATTTGCCGTTTTGAGCAAAGCTCTGGCTTTCTGGGTTGGAAAGAAAACACGTAATGGGTTTTACCATTCTTTTTCTCAGATTTTCCATTTCACATAAATTGTCTTATCTAACACTTGCCTGAAGAGCTCTGATCAAGTTGCAGTCCATAACAGATAGGTATTTTAAATCAAAACTCTATTTTTCATTCATGTGAATCCTAATAAACATTATGCTTAGTGTTAGGGAAACAAATTGTAGCAGATATGACATGTGTGCCACTGCTTTCCCCCCGGATTACAGATTCTCCATTACAATCTAATGAAAAAGATTTTGCTGTTCACTGAACTAGCCTGTCCGCAGGGCCACATTCCAGAGTCTCTATTCTCTATTGAGAAAGTCTCACCAGACAAGCTTAAAGAAAACTGAAAGAACTGGGTGCTTTTCTACTAAAAGCTAATTTCTTCCACTTAGCCACAATCTCATAAAGAATAACCAGTACTATATGTATTTAAGAATGTAGTTAAAAAAGATTTAGCTGTGATTTGTTAGATATGCCTGAATTATCATTTCAAGGAAACTACAGGTGTTTCATAAATAATGTCATTTTATCATCAGTTTTAGAGAACATTATTGCACAACTTTGGCTGACATTGCTTACGTTAAAAATATTGAAGGCTTCTACTGTAATTTTTCTTAATGCTATTCCTCAGAATTACATGCCTTCATGAACCCATTTCATGCACTACTGAGGAGCAACCGCCACCTCAGTGACATGCAGCAGCCATAATGTGCCAGAAACACACCTACAGATCAGGAAAAGAAGTAAGAACCTGCTTCATCATTCAGGGGGAACTGCAGCGAAAAAGAGTGTTCAAGCCCAGCGAGGAGTTTAGCCACAATATTGGTAACAAATTACACTCAAATTGCAAACAACAAAGCACATTCTTCTATAAAACAATTACTTTGGGCTGGCGTGCCTGCAGGTTTTAATTACAAATTAGTCCTTAACAAGCTAAACCAGCTGGATACTGATGTAAATTAACTACTTTAACCAGCTTCTTCCAGTTCTTCAGGTACTGCGACTTTAAAAAAATCTAGAAAACATACAAACACACCAGGCCAACAGCACCAGGAATGGACACCCCTGACCATGGTAACATGAGAGTATATCAAATGTGATATTGAAAGATTTCCAAATCAAAATCGGTTAATCATGTAGCAATGATGAAAGGAAATTACCTGGACTTTCTCTTTATCTCTCTGTACCGCTCGATAGGCAGTGACAAGCTGAAAGTAAGAAACAGGAGGTCAGAAGGCATTGAAACACTAAAGCTACCGTTTTCTTTCTTTTCAGATGACCATAGAGTTCTGACAGAGTCAACATAGGATGAATGTAAAAATTCAGGGCTTATTTGTCGATACTGGGATGTATATATAAACACATATTTTATTCAGTATACTGTATGCACACCTGATCAAGTTGAAGCCAGCAGACTAGCTTTTCACTTCAAAAGTGTTTAGGTGATTGGCTAGCAAGTGTTCTCGAAAAGTAAACATCAGACCGAAATTATTTTTCACCACCTACCTGTTGAAACCTAACAGAAGTGGTCTATTGCTTGTGCAAACAGGCTGGTGAAATCTGAATTAAGGTGTGAATATTGTCCCCCAGCTAGTAACCTACATGGACTCAATATGTGGACTAAAGGTCAATTAGTTAGAACCAGACTAATAATTTCACCAAAAGCTGTTTTCAATTACTTTGTTTAAATACCCAGCACTGGTAAACTAATTCCAACACATTGATTAATTTATATTTTTAGATTTTTGAGAAAACTGTCCCTAGGTGGAATGTGTGCATGTTTGTGTCTGTGTGGGCCCTGTGATGGACTGGCATCCCATCCAGGCTGTTTCTTTCCCTGTCGCACATTTGCCCCAGGTTACACCTGTCTTCCGTATCCTGTATCGGCTAAAGCAGTTAGAATATGGAGGGATGGCACACAAATTCTGTTATTTATCGAAAATGGATATCGTTAATGTTGTGGTTCAAGAGCTTAAACCAATGCAGAAATGTAAAAACTCAATTAACTCCTGCGCCTGTACTGCTTGATGAAGGAAAGTCAGTCCTCAGTGCCCCACCTCGGAGTACTTTCCCCTGTAGTTGCCCAGACTCCTCTCCATTCTGTGCAACCGATGGAGGAGCTGCTCCTTGGTCAGTGTGTCGACACTGCCCGGGGAGTCCTCTGCCTCGCTCTCTATGTCCGAAGGGGGGTCAAAGGAGGGCGTCCCGGGGGTGTCCGCCTCCCCCAGGCGGTTGAGAGAGTCCCGTGAAGTGCTGCGCACCAGGTTCTCCCGTGAGGATGAGCGGAACAGGCCATCCTTGGATGGGGAGCGGAACAGAGACTCCATTGAGGGCACGCGGAGCTGGAGCTTCCTTGCGAGTGACTGGGGCTCGAGCTTCTAGAGCGGTGAGAGAATCACAGGAGTCAGCCGAGGACCACAAGGACACGTTTTGTAATTATCAGTTGCCAGTCAACCAGACTCAGCATTTCTATTTTCCTTCCTATCTATACTTAAGGGATTATTTGTTACTATTTCAGTTCAATAAGTTTGATCTTAACAGTCAAGAATCACTTATTATGCACTGAAATGCAAATTCTTTTAAAGACCTCAGTTGCATATAAATGAAAAGTGTAAAAGGATAATCAATGTCGTATCTCCTCTAATACATTGATTGTAAAACGCTAAAATGAGACAACAAAAAAAATAGTAAGAAGATTACTCTTCTGGAATTGTGCAACTGCCCTCACCTTGGGCAAACAGACCAGATCCACCCTTGAGTGGTGGATACAAAAGACAATGGGCTGAGATACTACTAACCTGAGTTGAGTCCGTCTCATCTCCGTTAACACTGCCAGTTTTTGGAGTTTCTGTGACAGGCTTAGATACATTCTAAGGGAGAACAAAGAACAGTATGAATAATAACTGAACAGTAACAAAAAGGGCAGCCTAGCAGTGTCACAACAACATCCGCAGCCCACTTCCCAATTCTCCATGTTAACAATTACACGTTGAAGCAAATTAGTATTGCTTGAGCACCCCTGAAGCGATATCAGGTGACCTCATGCAACTCAGAACCAAAGGGGTTAAAACTCAAGAACATTTCTACTCTACACAGCCATGAGAGGCAAAAAAAATTAGTAGAGCAGTAACTGAAGACAGAGCAATTGGCATTACTTCATTCTACTACAAAAAAGCTGGCAAAGTTATTAATATTAAAAGGCCTGCGTAGGATAATGTCTTTTTTTATTTAGATGAATGCTACTTTAATGCTCCTGAAACATTCTGCACCTCATACTTGTTACCACTACCTTAAAGTATTTTATTGTCTTGCATGTTTATTGTAGAAATTCAAATCTTCACTAATTCCACTTTTTCTTGTTGGTATGACTTTCTTTAGAGGGTCTAATGAATCACTGCAATATACATTCATGTTTTTATTAGATTCTTACAAAGGAACGATTCCCTAAAATGTCCCAGATCAAAAGTTCTGTAAATATTGGTATATTATTAGCTATTTAATGCATATTTTGACAATATTATAAGAGTAACTGAATTTGAGGTTAATAGCATTTCTTAGACTGTATTTTAAACAAGAAAATACATTAAATGTTTTAAAACATGTCTTCTACAATTAGATTATTCTGAATGAATTGCTGCAGTGAATTAATATCATGAGTGAAGCACAGAGAATGAATTAATTGGGGCTAGCATCTGGCAAAAATAATTTCTACCTCATCAAATATAAAGGAACGCATACCACTTCCATAATGTACCAGCTATTTTTTTTATTTTTCTGACAATGGATAAAGAGAATGGATGGAAACAGGTGAAGTGAACATACAAGGTACAGTATTTAAGGTACGAAATTACTATTAATTAAATTAACTTTCTAATTGATGTACAAACAGAAAAGCAACAGACCAGTTCTATAGTTAGGAAATCACAGGTTTGAATCCAGGCTGAGACCCACACAGCTTGCTATTGGGAATATCATAGGCTCAGAAGTGCTGGAGAGCCATGTTATAGAAAACGCCCAGGACCTGCAGGAATGGACTGGGTCAGAGAGTAATATCCATCTTCATTTTGGCACTCAGATCTGAAAATATACTGTATTAGGACTCTGGCATGTTGTTTCGAGGGCAGATGGATTCTAAATATGCAGCTGCGAAAAACATCTAATGCAGCAACAAAAATCTTGATCAGAAGTTAAGAAAGAACACATACTGTATTTTTGACAAGCACTAAAATTAAACAATTTTTTTTACTCAAGTCTTTATCAAACTCATGATTGTAATATATTTCATGTTTTGATGGGAAATCACTACTTAAACTGCTTGTGTGCCTTTAATAACCTTGTGAAGGCAGAAAGTGTAGACTGGATTCCTAAAATTCCACCGGTGAATGGCTCTGTTACAGGTTTGTCTTGCATGTCAGAAAGATCGGCACAGACTAATAGGTCACACCCTGAGATTGTACAATGAATTATCCAAGCTCAGGTTTGCTACAGCTAAATATTACCCAGGCACTAAGCGCAAAGACTGCAAATGTTCACAAAAACATGTCAAAAGAACTTAAATTCCCTTCATACTAGTCTCAAAGTTTAATTTTCATGGCATGAAATTGATTAGGTAAAACAATTCCGCAGGTCTTCAATGAGAAAATGAAGGGCACTGCATTCACCATTCCTGATTTTGAAATAAAAACCTAAATGTTGAGAAGTGCTTACTGTTATAGAGTATATCAAGATGTCTTTTGTAAGGTGGACTTCAAGATTGGGTGTGATAAACACATTGTAACGAAACTTTATTATAATAAAGTGCATAGTTCGCAAATCTTGCCAATATGAAGTAACAGAAAAGAGCAAAAGCTAACATTTTGTACTGTTTCACTCAATTTAAGGCTTTGATCTGGCAAAAATATCTGTAGATAGGTTTTGAGCGCTTCCAAAATATTACTTTGTAGTAATTAATGTGTTATAGGTCCTGCAGATATTTTCTCTCCAGAGATCTACATTCCTACTTGACATTTACAATTGATCTTTGATGCAAACCCAGAGCTTTGTGGAGAAAATTAAAAAAGAGGCCAATCTCTGTCCAAAGTGCTCAGCTCTGCTCTCTGACTGTGAAGGGGGAGTGTCACAAAAAACACAATTCCAGCACAAGGGACATCAGAGGGAGAACCCTAGAAAATGTTTTTTTGAAGGATCGCGGGGTGGCGAGGTTACTAAGAGCACAGGGAGACATTCATTCCTTTAGCTATGCCACACAGTAAAGGAATAGCAAAATATAAACCAGCAAACTGCAAAAAGCACACAAGCACTAAGGTACTTTCGTTTTTCTTTTATTTACATACTGGTCCATCAGGTTTAGTGCAGGGTTAGACAGGTGAGATGCCTTGGAGTAAGAGAGATAGAGAAAGGAGCAGGTTGCAAGCAGTGAGTTTTTTAAAATTTAGCTACAAGGGCTCTCCTACCCCACCATAAGGCATCGCTGGAGAGGGTGGGGCAAGGTTGGGGGGTGGGGACTCACCACACTGGCAATCTGAGTCGCTTTAGGTCGTTTGGTATGGTCCAGAGCAAAGATAGTATATTCAGACAGAAAAGCAGGCTCTGCTATCATCCCGGCTAGCAGCTGCCTCAGTCAGTGCAATTAGCAGGGTGGGAAGAGGGAAACAAAGAGCAATGAGAAAACCAAAAAAATACGAAATTGTACAGAAGAAGGTATTCAACTCCAAAACTAACCACTGATGAGATGCTCAAGGCTTTCATGGAAAAAAGAAAAATAAACAAAACAGTGATTCCCAGAAAAAGTACCTAGATTTACTTGTTTGTCCTCACCAATTGAATGCCTCTTCTATTTCTTAGTTCTCAAGTTATAAAATAGATCAGAAAAACCTAGATGTTCTGAAGATGGAAAGAAGCAGGAAAACATGTTTAAGAACTACAAAAAACCTGCAAAATCAATCTCAGTGTACAAACAAAAACATTAAGGCTTATCCTTTTCATTAGTATAGAATGCCTGTTGTTTCAGTGTAACTTTGTAAGTACTTTTCTGCTGACAATACAATGCATCTTCTCCCATTCTGAGAACAGCTATCTGAGTCTCATCACAAGTCAACAGTAATAACTGCAGGAGGCCACTGACCGTATCAGCTGATGAAGGACTGAAGTGACTGAAGATTTTTAAATCCCTTTGACCAAATGAAAAGGCAGCTGTAGTGTTCTGTGCTGCAGTTCAATTATCTTCTGATCTGAGCTACAGAAACTTACAGATGCAGCCATTCAAAATGTATGGTACAACCCCGTACTGTGCAAAATTATCCACAGTTCGCCCTGTTGTACCTCAGTATGTGATTGGCTGGCCAAAATGACCGACAGGGGCACTCGTGGTGCATTGGTTGTTAGTGAAACAGTTTAATCATTTAATCTCTTACTGTGCATGTTTTAATCCACTTAATATTGAATACTTATATGGAATTTTACAACTAAAGGGAAATTTTAGTAGCCGAGCATAAAAAGAAGAGGGGCATAACGCGTCTGAAGGTCATAAACGAAAATTAATTGAGGAAAATAAACATGTAAACTGTATATGGCTGTAGTTTAAATATAAAAATACACACCAGTATTCCACTTTCTTCCTAAACATTTAAGGATTCAAAGTCTTTCATTCAGTTACATACTGTGGTTATTTTGGAAAAGTTTTTACGTGTTCCTTCTGACTATATTAAGTTTATATATGCCATAAAAAGTTATAATGTTTTAACATTTTCTATGAATATTTGTGCTCGTTATCGCAGTAAAAAATGCATACTTTTTATAATTTGATTAATAGGGAATATAATATGGAATCACGTTTCTAAAGAAAATAATAATGATATAATTATATGCATATACTGTAGCTCAGCTTATCACAGTAGTAGACTTTCTTTGTAAATGTCTGCATCAGTTGAACTCATTCACCTGTGATTACGTGTGTGGTGCAATGGCTTAGGCATGTGACTTGCATGCTGGAGGTCGGGGTTCGAACCCAGCTGTCACCATGAGATTTCATTTAACAAATAAACAGTTCTTTGAAAAACTGAAATAGCAAATATTATGGACAGTATATTGACATTTTTTATGTTTCCAAATATCACAACATGTTCGAAGCTAAGTGATTTATTAATAATAACAAATAATTTCAAACTGCTACTGTACTGCCACTACAGTACAGCTTGTGGGAAATACATTTATTTGCCCTGCATCAAAGTTTAACTCGCTCAGAGCGCCCTACATTACAAACTCCAAGCGTTTCATTTTATCTTATTGCTACAATATCGACAGCAATGTAGTTAAAAGGAACAGGTCAAAATGTTTCCAAAATAACTACAAGTGAATGAGTTGAGGGATTTGATGATAATAGAGAAATCATAACAATGACCCGTGTTGCTAATCATGCATTCTCAACTGTACTGTAATCCACTTTCTTTGTAAACATGTTTTATTTTTAATTTGACTCATACACACATGATGAATTGTGAGAGAGTGATTGATGGAGACAAGATGGAGGGTCTTGTCAAAACTACATTCCCCAGAATGCAGTGGGAAATAATGTCAGTCACCCTCAGTCATCTGACCAGCTGACGCATTGCATCAGAGAGACTGACTGAAGGATTAGCCCATTAAGAGCGATTCTTTTTTAAAACAACCTGATGGGAAGGAAAAGTGCCCACAGTCATTTTTTTCACTGACAGACAAAATAGAACAATGTAGAGTACATAATGTGGTTATGTATCGGGAATGTTTGCAACTGTTGCGATAACTGTATAGTATATGCTTTTGGGAACACATTCATTTTTGTGCAGGTAATTGCTCACTTCTGCTGCCGTAGAGTTTTTTGGAATCTACATGCTCTCCCTGCATAGTTATCGACAATGAAAATGTCTCTGGAATAGGCATACTGTATAAACGATAAAGCAGAGGCTATGGAGAAAATGGAAAGCAACTGGTTTGACGTGTACAGTAAATGTGACACCTGTGGTGCGTTGAGTGCATATCCTACAGTGTGAACGCATTTGCAAGGCTATTAAAAAAGTGTATGGAGGAGTGTCAGCTGTCAAGGAGAGCACCCCCCCTCCCTTTCCCTTTTTATACAATTTATAACCCTTCTTCCCTCCTTTGTTTAACTTAAAGAATTTCGCAAAGAAATCCTTAATCACAATACCATCACTTAATATATCAAGATACATAAATTCACACCAGATCCAACAACAAGCTATAATAGTGGACTATTTTTATGTATTCACTATATAAGAAACAAACCGAAAGTAATACTCTGATCGCGCTTTGAACCACTGGGTGCAGTGCGTTGTTCATTACCACTACAATGACAAAAGTTTTTAAAAAAGAAACGGATGTCAACATTTTTCCAACAATGTCCACCTGGGATATTTTAGCTGCTTAGTTACAAGATTCCAAATTCATATAACTATCAAGTGATGTTAAATCACTACAACATTTATCTTTTTACAATAACAGCAAGCAATGTTCTTACTATGTATTCTTAGAAAAAGATAAAACCATTATAGCTTTTTATGAAGTATAAGCTTAATATAAGCTTAATAATGTTAGAACAAAGCATGTTAAAACCAGAACCCACTAAGTTACCAAGTTAAAGACTTTGATGCATAAAATATTTATGATGAAGGCAATGAAAGCAATCTTGCTTTTATAAAATATATTGACTTTTTAATGTTTAATGATTAACATGCTGTAAGACACAGTTTACAATTACTAAAAGTCTAAAGAGTATACAACTTAAATTCTTAATTGGAAAAAGATTGTCCCTCTGCAGTGACCGGGATTCGAAACCGGGGGTTTTCTGGTGACAGCTCAAATGCTGTACATGAGATGTTAAGCTTTATTAGCTCCACCTGGTGGTTTTACAAGGTGCTCCCGGATACTTTTATCATAATTCAATTAAAATGCGGTATAACGCGACACGCCTATCGCGTTTTAACCAGGGTACTCCGTGCATTTTGAATGGCAGAACTGACAGACCTGACACATCTAAAGACATGCCTTGGGGGGCATAAGCTCCAGTGTATCCGATCAAGTTCAGCTGCTGAAATATTCCATCTGCTGCCTCCTTTCGCAACAATAGTAAAACTTTACATCCACATGTGCCAATTTCATGTAATTCAAAGTACTGCCTGTTCAGGCCTCTCTTCCCAAAACTTTTCCAAAATTCTTAGGTCCTGGTATAAGAAAGACTGACTAGCTGTTTTTGTGTTTGCAATTGAATACACTGAAAAGGAAACATTTTGATGTCTTGTTGTTAATCAATAGAAGAAGAAATTAAAAAAGAATATTTGGATTTTATAAAGTTCACCCAGTTAAATAGACATAAGTGGCTGTTCCTTAGTGGGGAATCAGGCTAATGAGCCTCACAGTTTTTTTCAATGCATAAAAGACTACCTCTTGGGGGACTCCCTTCTCCATCAATTACAGTATTTTTATTCTCCATTCCTCTGTCCATCAGCATTCAAGTGATAAACCCAAAGGAATAAAGTCCAGGCAAAACAAATCAAGCACAAAATCTTGATGATACACTAGATGCAAATAGAAACCTCCTGGGTCCTTGAAATCAGATATATTACCACTGCTGAGATATTATAAGTTATACAAACAACAATCTTAACAATTAAACTGTAAAAATCAAAACTTTCAGAACCACCTCAACAATTTAAAATGTAGAGACAATTTCCATTCCCAGACAATGATCATTCCCAATTTCTGCATTACATGTCACCAAAATTTAAACAAACAAGGTTTCATCTGTCTTGAATGTAAACTTCAAAGACAGAACTTGGAACACGTTTATAAAGAAAAAGTAATTCAACACTTTCAGGCATCCAATACCAATCAAACATCCTAGTAAAACTAGCTGGAAAAGGCTAAAAACTGTGACTTTTAACCTCAGAGTGGTTCTAAGCTTACTTTTGACTTTAGTTTAATTTGCCCAATCCACTAAACTTACAAAAGTAATTAGCAAGGACCTTATACTATATTATGCACTATATCAACTACCCTAAGCTCTGAGGCTATATAGTGCAATCTATGATAACAGATGAAAGTGAGAGAGGAAATAAGTAATTTTGTCAACACCCTGCTTTGTTGTTTTTCCCCATTTTATTCTAAAACCGAATAATAAAGTTATTATCTTTGCTAAGAATTGCACAAAATCTGATTACTAGAAAATGACATCCAGACCTAGAATATATAATTAATTTACGCTCCAGCTAAAAAAAGAACCTACACTATTTGGGATAACTATTTTATTAAATGTGTTGAGCATATAATAAAGTTACAGACAACTGTAAAGAAATTTCATCTAAAGACTACAAAATGTGCAAGACAAAATACAGGACTACAAGATTATGGAATTTATCAAAATAGATGATTTCAACCTGCTTGTGTTCCAGAAGTCAAATTCATCCATTCATTATCAGAAAGCCACTTAGTCCCACTAAGACCTGAGTCTATACTCTCACCTAGGTAGGATATGTTCTTTAGGAAATACATCAGTCAAAAACAGCATCAGTCGTCTGAAAATCAGACAGCATAAACAATGGTGTTGAGCTGTGTTGAATTCTGAATAATATATACTAAATATGTACTAAATGCTTTTCTGGATTGATTCCAATAGAAAGTCACATATCTAAACAACATTTAAAATAATGATCACATAACCTTTGCTATTCTTAAAAATAATACTGCCATTAGATCCACTTAAAAAATGGCTGTTTGAGTTGCTAAACTTAGAAGCATTATACTCTAAAGGGATTTGCAAAGATGCAAAAGATGCACAAGCATCAGGTTCCTTCCACTGGATCATTACCTTGTATTACCAGTATTATTTTTTATTTATACAGTACTCCTAATGCGTTTAGATGCCAAAGGCAATCTAAACTTAAAATGCCATTATCACAAGCGATCTATATTAAAAAGAATTACTGAACTATAGAAATGATCAGTAATGTTATGATTTCTATTGTAAACACTCATTCAAGAAAACATGTACAAAAACATGAGCTAGACAGTATTATGACTGTAATTTTTGAGCACCAATGCATATTCAATACATCATTGGTCAACAACCTCTGGACATCCCAGTAAGCAGGAGAATGGCTTTAGCTGAAATACACATTTTGTGGAGAAGGAGTCTGTTAAAAAAATATTCTAGCTTGTCCAGCTTATAGCTTGTAACAGGCACTGCAAAGTCACTCACCTTTCATGCTCGCTTGGTAATTGTTTTTTCTAGTTTGCCTGAAACCCTTAGCAACTCCATTAGTGCAAAGTGCAAACAGCCATTACTAATGCATTATCACAGTTCATTTTTATGCTGTATTACTGCACAGATCCTGGCCACCACTTCTCTCAGTGTCAGTTTTGATTTAGTAAGTTATTTTAATTGCAAGACATTGTGCAGCTAAAACCTAAAGCTTTTACTAGTTCATCTGGAAGCTAAACAGAATAGTTGAACTTAAAAAACCTAATCAAAAATGTATTTACCACAATTCCAAAATCTCAGCGTTTCCAACAGTTTCCACTGAATAACTTAAAGCAAAGCTTTTCAAGACAGTGTTTCATAAGTAATGGTCTAAGTCATGGTAAGAGGCAATGGAATATTTTTAATCAAATAGAAGCATAGAAAAAGACAAGAAGCCATGTGCAGCTTGGAGAAGCTTACCTCTCTGTCATCTGGAGAGATGGTGCTTTCATCCTGCCGGAGTGTGAGGGATGAGGTACGTCCTCGAGAGCCTGCAGGTGGTGCTGTGGGGACGGCAGGGTTCTGCAGGGATGACAGATGCTTACTGATAACTCAAAGACATTCCTTCAGGCCAGCTCACTACCAGTCTACTGATTCAACACATCGGGGCCAGAATTGAAGACCCCTTAAAACAAATAATAACTTCATATATTATATATGTAATGTATTTGTTGGGTAATTGAAAAATTCCACTTAATTTAAATTATACTAATCTGTATAAATAACATTGCTTGTCATTTATTCCTTATGCCTGCATAACATTAGGTCTCTCCCTGAATACATTTCTAAAAAAAAAAGCTGGGAGGATAAATATTTGGACCTTAGCTGATAAGACTAAGTTCACATTTCTTGGTTTCTCCCGTGAATTAAATTTAATCAAAGCTATAACTATGTCAATTGGCAGCACTGCGCTTGGGTTTCAACCCATAATGAAGAATTTGTGGTCAACCTTTGATACTGAATTTACTTTTAAATGCAGAATACTGTAAAGAGTGTGTGGAGTTTGTATGTTCACATGCTTTATCTTCAGGTGCTCTGGTTTCCACCCACAGTCAAAACACATACTGGTAGGCTAACTGTCTTCAGGGTGAACCGGCCTTGGTGTACGTGTGTACATGTCTGTGTCTGCCCTGCAATGAACTGGTATTTTGTCTATGATGTATCCTGCTTTAAATCTGTTGCTTGCCGGGATAGTCTCTGGCTCCACCACGACCTTGTATTTAATAAAGCGGTTAGAAAATGGATGGACTGTTTTTTTTCCATCTGAAAAATATTGCTATACCTTCTGGGTCGACAGCTAATATCCTACAGCTGTGATATCCTATTTGCAGGAATCTAGACTCCTAGGTTCTCAATGGAAGTGCTCTCCTGTACCTACCACATATGTTTATCTACACCCTGATACCCTGAAGTTTTTATCATGTGCATTGTTTTACATGTCTCTTTAATATGAATTCTTTCTAAGTGGTGATACTCTTTGTTGAGTGCATGTCTCCACTTACTTGCTGTGTTTTGGAAAATGTTTTAAGAAAAATCTACTTAATAGTGGATATATAAAAACTTCAGAAAAAAAGGACACTCTTCCTATCCTGCCTGTGTGGATATGTATTCCTACTGATCAGAGAATATAATTCAGATGTACTCTGATGGAAGTCAGGGAGTCCACTTTAACAACAAGGATAATTAAATCCCCACACTCACCACAACATGCAAATAAATGCAATTTAAGTCCAGTCATGAGTATACTTCTTCATAATTTCCCTAAGGTCTCATTCTTGAGCAAGATGTAGACCACTGACCATTCACCTTTAAGTATTCTGAACTCTTTTCTTGAGGCACTACAGTAAGAACTATTAAATTCAAAAAGGCACACAGTGTTGTATTTCAGGTCAAGCTTCTTGCTTTACTTGTAGCCAGCAGCCATATCAACCTGGAACTTACAACTGGCAACCCAATGAAGCGAAGTAGGCATGAGCCTTGTCAGTACCAGTATGGGAGACCTCCTGGGAAAACTTAAAGTTGTTGCTGGAAGAGGTGTTAGTGGGGCCAGCAGGTGGCGCTCTCCTTGCTGCCTATGTGGGTCCTAATGCCTCAGTATAGTGACAGGGACACTGTACTGTAAAAAAAAAAGGCACTGTCCTTCAGATGAGACGTAAAACCGAGGTCCTGACTCTCTGCGGTCAATAAAAATCCCAGGGAGTTTCTCAAAAAGAGTGGGGTGTAACCCCGGTTTCCTGGCCAAATTTCCCATTGGCCCTTACCAATCATGGCCTCCTAATAACCTCCATATATGAATGGGCTTCATTACTCTGTTCTCCTCTATACTAATAGCTGATGTGTAGTGAGTGTTCTGGCGCACTATGGCTGCTGCTGCATCATCCAGGTGGATTCTGCACCTTGGTGGTGGTGGAGAGGAGTCCCCATTACCTGCAAAGCATTTTCAGTGGAGTATCCAGAAAAGTGTTATATAAGTGCAAGCAATTTTTATTATTATTATTACTACTACTCTCTCTGGCATAATCCCTTAAAATCCAATAAAGTTGTGTTTAATTATATAAAAAAAATGAAAACTCTTATCTGAGTCTACAGGATATGAATTGGTTACCTTTTACACTGTTTAAGATAGCTATAACTGGCTGCTCCTTTTCTTCACCTGATTTGCTCAAGGTGTGTCTAACATTGGTATGGACTAAGTTTTCTTTGAGATTACTTATTGTCTGGATTTAAAAAAAAAACACTCAGTTTCAGGACTAAGACACAAATGTATCTTCCAAGCTTGACATCCTTTGAAACATATGGTCAACATGTACGAATACAATCAGGTTATCTTCATGCAATTCACACTCAGCAGCTGAAAGGTTATGCTCTAGTAATGTGACAAAGTAAAAGCTTTATAACAATGAGGCAAAGCAATGAACACATTGTTGCACAACCTAATTAAACCAAAAACTAAATTAAGTAAAATGTAGTAACTGTAACATATGTTGAAGATTAGAGATTATTCTATGTAAGGCAAGGTGTGGAAGCAATGATAAAGCAAACAGAATACAGAAAATATATTTGCTTGGGTATATAGCAAAAGGCATGTATTGTGGAAAAAGGCTACGTAATTTAGAATATTTTTGTTCTATTCTGTTCAATTTTGGTTATCATAGCAAAAAAAGGAGGATAAACATCTTCAGTCTAGAAAAGAGCGGGCTTGATTTAAGTATATAAAATCAGAATAGGAGATAATTTCATATCCTGTAGTGAAACAATGATACCATGTCATAATTACAAACAAAATGAAGGAGGGAGAACTGAAAATTATTGTTTACATACAGATACAGCCATTCAAAATGCACATCAAAACTTGTGTCTGTGGTAAGCTAGGTGCACTGTACTGTAGTATGAATCGGTTTGGCAAATTTAACTTTTCACTGCCCAGAGAAGATCAACAAGTGGCACTTATGGTGCATTAGATGTTAGTGAAACCACTTAATACAAATATTAAAATCTAATTCTGGTATTTTGGGTATTTTAGTTAAATAAATGTTGGTGGCTGAAATTAAAAATAACCAAAGTATAATAACATTTCTGAACATCACTAACAACATTAATTTCTTAATATAAATATTATATTTTTATAAAATGGTATTGGTAGCCGAAAATAAAATTTAAGGTATTATAATGTATATTATAATAAGGTATCAATAAGGCAGTATTCCACCTTCTTCATAAACATGTTCTGCATCAATTTTTTTTACTGGGTCATTTGCTGTAGTTATCTGATGTGCTCATTTTAACTAAACTTCCCATGAACACTCACTGTTTCAATCATTGTAATAGAAAATAAACATTTGTAGAAAATGGAAAAAGCAACACTTGCAGTTTTTAATTTAGCTCATCCCACCAGAGTGACACATTGGCAGTTCAGCAGTAGAATTCCCACCTGCCACATAGGAGAGTGGGGTTTGATTCCCAGCAAACGCACAAATATCAACAAAGCACCCCCTTGGGCATAATAAAAAACTAATTTTCTAATAATAAAATACAATAAATGATAGGTATACTACATTGACATTTTTATTAATTTTATATATCAGAGTATTTTAAATAATAACTAATAAGAAATGCAGTAAGAACATGCATGAACCTCCATAGAGTTAGCAAACATGTGAATACAGCCACAGGAGGGGAAAAGAAAACCAGATCTACCGGTTATCGGCTTTAAAATCATACAGTATCATATTTTAAAGCAAACAAACATGTACAGTAAAATAAACAAAACAGGAGCCAAATGTAAATATTTTTTTTGAATAACCATCGATCATGTACTGTACATTAAGTTGCATTGCAGAGAAGTACTTTTAAATTGTAGATATTGCAATTTGCCATTGTTAAATTATATACTATCCAATGAAAACAAAATTAAAGTAAAAATTAGACCAAAAAACTTCAAAACTTAATTTAGCAGATGTTCAGCTCACTATTTTGTGAAACTATTGTGCATCACCAGTTTTACTGGAGACATACTGTATCAGATATTACACAGAAAATACATTTTTATTAAAATTCATCTGGTGGTAATTTTATTGATAATTAGTTCAATTGTCCATTACACCAACAAAGTAGCATTAAAAAGACTACAAACAAAGATTAAAGATATGTGATGTTAGGAAACGGTGTTCACATCTCCCTGAACCCCCCTCCACCCCCTTCTCCCTGTGAGGATGAGGAGGCTGGGAACCCCTTCTGAGTGAAAAGTTACCAAGGGCTGCAAATGCAAAGGTTGAGACAGGGGGAGGAGAGATGCAACAGAAAAAAACAGAAAAAAGAGGGATTTGATATTATAAGACAGTCAGTGAGTTATACTTTACCTGAATATCATGTTCTTAAGCATGAGTATACAGTCATGTGAAAAAGAAAGTACACCCCCTTTTTCAATTCTATGGTTTCACATATCAGGGCATAAATAACAATCGTCTGTTCCTCATCAACTTCTATAATTAGACAAATCTAGCTCAGATAACAGACAACACATAACAGATTTCACTATGTCATTATTTATTCAATAAAAAGTAAGCCAAAATGCAGAAACCATGTAGAAGAATTAAGTACAACCTCACCACTTCCATAGGAATTAAGAAGGTAATTAGCAGCAAGGTGCTGCTAATCAAATGCACTTGATTAGCCGATCATCAGGAAGTGTGACCACATCTATAAAAGCAGAACGTTTGGCAGTTTGGTGATCTGGAGCATTCAGGTGTGTGTTAACACCATGTCAAGGAGAAAAGACATCAGCAATGAACTCAAAGAAGCAATTGTTGCTGCTCATCAATCTGGGAAGGGTTATAAGGCCATTTCCAAACAATTTGAAAAATATAATTCTACAGTGAGAAGGATTATTTACAAATGGAGAACATTCAAGACAGTTGCCAATCTTCCCAGGAGTGGGCGTCCCAGTAAATTCACCCCAAGGTCAGACCGTATAATGCTCAGAGAAATCGCAAAGAACCCAAGAGCTACATCTAGGGATCTAC